CGCAATGGCAGCAGGGGTCGCGACGGCAGCAAGGGCCGCAACGGCAGCAGGGGCCGCGACGGCTGCAGGGGCCACGACGGAAGCAGGGGCTGCGACGGCAGCAGGGGCCTGAACGGCAGGGTCCGTGACGGCAGGGGCCGCGACGGCAGGGTGAGACAGGCGCAAAGTGCGCTTCGGGCAGGGCAGACAAAATAATCGTGGTGGGCCCTAAAAAAAAAAAAACCGTTCCCACAAGGGAACCTGCTCAGGATACCATGTCAGAATCTAAAGGAAGGAATGAATGAACTAGAAAGCAGGTGGGTACAAGTAGGAAACCTAAAAGTGTTGTACCCTATATGAACTACCCCACTACAGCCTAAACAGACTATAGCATATAAGTTTGACATAAATCGGCTAAGTGCTGCTGCTTATCCCGACTGTAGACTAGAATGTCCTCGAGGTAGATGATCACACATTTATCTAAGAGGGGTCTAAACGCCTCGTTCATTGTCATCTGGAAAGTCGCCGGCGCGTTGGTCAGCCCGAAAGGTATCACTGTTTATTCAAACGACCTATACCTAGTCTTAAATGCTGTCTTGGCACAGTCCGATGGTTCGACCCGAATCTGATGGTAACCTCCCCGTAAATCAATTTTCGAAAAAAAACCCGTGCTGTTTTCGCAGTTGATCTATCAGATCGTGAGCGCGGGGGATGGGGTATCGCGATTTGACTGTAACCCTGTTCAGTGCTCTGTAGTCGATGCACATGCGAAATCCTCCGTCCTTTTTCGGTGCGAACAAGATTGGCGCGGCGAATGGGGACGAGCTCGGTCGGATGAATTTCTTCTCTATCAGGTAATCTAACTGCTTCCTTAACTCGTCGAGCTCGGGCTGTGTCAGTCTGAACTGTTGCTGTACGGTTGGCTGTGCTCCGGGTTCTAATTCTATTCGGTGATCGTGCGCCCGCTGAGGTGGCAGTCCCTCCGGTAAGTCGTCGGGAAAAATCCCTGGGAATCGTTGCAGCAGTTCCTGTAGTTCGGGTGGTACTGCCGCCAGCAGCTTCTGAAAATCGCTCGGCTGTTCTGCTTCTTCCACTATTGCGATATCTATCGCGTACAGGTCAGCTCCAGCGGCGACAGCCCGTTTCATCGTGATGGCGTTGACGTGGACCGTCGAAGACTCAGGTGACTGCCAGCGAGGTAGTTCAACCCAGTTAACGCTACTTCGCACAGTGCAGCTACCCGTCGTCCAGTCGATTTGCGGATTGTACCGTCGCAGCCAATCACGTCCCAGTAATATGTCGTGCTCATCCAATGTCGTCGCGAGCATTTCCTGTGTAAACCCGAAGTCCCCCCCACAGCGGACTTTTACTCTCTCCACTTTTTCCCGTATGGCCAGCGGCGTTCCGTCAACTAAACGTGCATCAATCTTTGGTAAACACCGACTAAGTGCCAATCGCAACTTCCTTGCAGCCGCGGTGTTAACTAAACTGTGGCTTGCGCCTCCGTCTATAAAAATCTTCACTGCTGCTCCCTGTATTTTCCCGTGAATCAGTACTGGGCAGTCTGTCGCTGTACCCTCCTTATTCGTCCGAGCCCGATCGATAGCGTGAATCGGTACTGTGACTCAGTGAGGGTCGGTGAAGATGGGTGAGCAGGCGGTCTCATCAGTAGTTGGCCCATTTTCTACTGACTACTGACGTTTCCCGGCCTCTGAGACTCTCGCCCCTGCTCTGTTCCGCGGCGCCTCAGCTCCTCTGGGCATTCACTCTTGCGATGGCCCGGCCTATTGCAAGCAAAGCAGCGCCCCTTAAATGGTGCGGCAGCTGCATTTGTCGCAACGGCGTGTACGGTGGCGTGCTCGATCGGTCCCCGAGGATGTCGATTTTCTCGGCGAGCGGGAGGATCTCGTTGAAATTCGAGAGCCCGCGTAGCATAATTTTGTGCGAGATGTCTGGCTTTAGCCCTCCGACGTAACGGTCCACCCGCTCCGCTTCGTGCATATAGCCGACTTGCTCGCATAATGCGATAAATCCGCTCGTGTAGTCTTGAACCGATCCGAGCTGCCGCCAAGTGCGCAGTTTCTGGCGCGCTGAAATTGAAGCCGCGATCGGCTCGAAACGTGCCCGAAGCCCTGCGCACCACGCATCCCACGTGATATACTGGGCTGTCTCGCAGAATGAACTCCAGGTGACGGCTGGGCCCGTGGGCCCGTCTTCTTGCGACGGTGGCTCGTAGGCGCGTGGCGACGTCACGATTACTCGCCACCAGTCCATGGCAGGGCCCCTCAGCACTGAAACAACGTAGCGAATCTTCGCTGCGTCCGACTCGACGTAGTTTGCGTCAAAGAATACGTTCATCGTGAAGTCCCACGACTGAACTGTCGGACCCCCACGTTGGCTTGGGTCGAAACAGGGCGGGCGCTGCGGCTTGAGTGGCATTGGTGGCGTGATGGCGTACTCGCCACTTGTCGCTGCAAATTCCACGTGCCGACGGGCTTCGCGGGGCTCCCGTGGGCTTGGTGCTTGGTCGCTGAGGGATGTCTACCCCCCCAAAAAAAATTGAGATAGTGGGAAGCGAAGGTGTGGGTGCGGTCCGAGAGAAGATCGTAGGCTCTGATAACCAAGTGTTACGAGTGCAATGGAGTGAGTGAGCGATGATTGCACTATTGAGACAAGAATAAAACGAGCGAATAATTGAGCGAAGAATATATAGCGAAACTACAGTGGTAACGGTAACGTGTAGTCAATAGGGTGCGCGACGGGCCTGGTGCCGAGGTTGGGAACTGTCGGAGCGGAGGTCCGGAGCGCGGGTTACCAACCGAACCGTGGGGTTGGGTCGCATCGTGAACAGTGGCGGGAATGGGGTCGAGGCGAATGTCGCGAGTGGTAACGGATTATTGTGGGGTGCTGTTGGCGGGAACAGTGGTGTACGCGCTGAGCAGGGACGCGAAGTAAGGGAAAAGGATTTTCCTTACAGCGTACAATACACTACATGATTGTCGTGGAGTTAACTGCTCGTTGTACGCGGTAACCGGTCACTTACGGTGAGTTCAACTTCGTGTCGTGACCGCAAGTGAATGCTACACGAGATCCCTATGGAGAAATAATTGCTTCAGGAGAAATGGCGGTTTCAAAGCCGGCTTTCGTTGGTTTGTAGGCTGCCTGAAGCCGGCCACGGGATCTAATTGGTGGGCGGAAGGTTTTGCTGTCGCTTGCCGAGTCCCAACTCCCGACGCGCTCGCAGTCGTCTCGTCACAGTTTTTATTCTCGATGTGCCGTGGGTGGGACTGTGCGCGCTTTACACCCGCAGCCCCCTTCATTTCAGGGTGACGTGGGATTCGACTTGACTAGTCGAATTTCAGAGAGGTGGAGGCGGACTGTCGCAGAGAGTAACGACGTAGCAGTACCGATTATTGGCGGAAGTGGACCAAGTGGCTTCGCTCACAGCGCAGCGCGCAGTCGGGCGACTTCGCAGAACATCAGACAAGAAGGATCAACCAAGTGGCTGGCATAGGTCCAGACTCCAGGCAGGACTTTCTGTGGGCCACGCAACATTTGGGGCAAAAGTCCAGCCACACTGGAACAGGTGGGAGGAAGCAATGATGTGAGAGAAACAGCCTTCCCAATTGGATGAGCTGCTGCGAAAGTCCTGTGAGAAGTTGCGAAAGAGCGACTTATTCGGTTTGCGGCTTGCGAAATCGGACGAGTGGCCAGGTTCAGCTACGGACCAGAGTCCCTCCCACCACCACCCAACCACAAACGCAGAACAGAACTAATGCAACACTGTCCTGCAGCTCATGAGTCATGAATTATGAGGGTGGAGTGCATGGCGCATCGCGACCAGACGGTAGAGGTGGAGCTAAAGAAATGCGAGAGCTAGTTGGCTGCATGCTTGGATTGACAGGCTCTCGCAACAATCCCACTCGCTCCCACGATTTTATATAATTCGATTGACCCTAATCCCGCACGTGCCGCGTTTATTACCGAGCTCCTGATTTTATCGCAGAGTCAGTGGCTCACACGCTGTGCGGCCGAGCCGTCAGCGTCGCAGGCCAGGAGCTCGTTAGTCTAGGCGATAAACCGAGCGAGCATCGGCGAGAGGGTTTCAAGTTTGGAAACTCTGCGTTTGACGGTCTTCGTGCGAGGAATACGTATACTATCATAGTACCGCCTCCTACTGTAGTGGCGTTTCCGTCGCCTGAAGCATGGAAGCACCCATTCCGCGTACTGCTCTCACCAACCACTCGGCGAGCGAGCACGAGGTTAATTAGAGCTTCGCAGCGACTTGGATCAAACCACAAGTAGCCCCGGAGGTCGTGAGACGCTCGGTCACAATTGGGATCACAACTTCTTGTCTCAGAGCTCTTGTTTCCAGATCTTCCGATCCGTCCTAGGCGTCTGTTCTTGGCGCACTTCAAGTTGAGCCCCCCAGCCCAGGACATTTCCTTCTGTCGTTTCGTACAGAAAAAGGCGATCGAGAAAGCGCTAAGCCGTCCGATCATAGCAGTACTACACCAGATCGGCGGCCGGGGTTGTCCGATCGGCGGAGGAGCTGCTGAGCCCGTCAAGTAGGACTTAGCATGAAGGGTCGGGGCGCGGCCGGCTCGATGCGTTGCTTTCTCAGCAACGGAACGGGCTCTAGGCTCATTATTCTTACTATTTATTTACTTTTCGTTGTTGGCGACGAGGAGAAATCCTGATTCCACCAAGTAGATTGAGCCACCATTGCGGGTCCACCCTTTCCCATGAGTTCCCATGGTCAGTTCCTCACATGCTTCAACCAATCCCCGCACGCGACGCTAGGCGATTCGCCGCCAGGTTCGCCGGCGACTGCCGTCGCCGCCGAGCGGCCGCTGTGCGACGAATCGACCGCGTCGCCCGCGGATGTGCGACAAGGGGACGGAGCCGCGAGCACGATCGCGGCTCAGATGCACAGCAACCCAGCCGTCGCAACGGTTCCAGGCACGACAACCGTTCGCGCTACTGATGCAAGTAGCAATCCTAGTACCCGTACTGTCAGAATGAACGAACCGCTACTATATTTTAGAGAGTATGACGTGGATTGGATCACTGCCGCCACGTGGCAGTTCTCGAAGCGCCGTATAGTCAGCCAGGGATGGGATTCCACAGTGTTTTCCATACCTGGGCAAAGGGTAGCAGGCTACGAAGGGGGCTCGGCGGGAGGCTCGGCAAGAGGTTCGGCAGGAGGGTCAATTGGCTTGAGGGTGAAGCGGTTTGGTGGGCAAGGTTGTTCGCTGTCGAAGGAAGCCGAAGCTGCCTTCCAGGTACGGGTAGACCGAGGCGAGCTGCTTTTTCGGGGCTGGGAAAGAGGAGAGTTTGCCGGAGAGTAATAAGTATGGAACCCGAAACCCGAGCTTTCTTGCGTAACGCAACTCAAGCTAATCTTGTGACCTATTTTCCTCATTCCGTGTCTACCTCACTCTTCGCGTTCCCCCCTCATTGCCCACCCACAACCCCCCTCAAAACACCCTCCACCCTGCTTCACTCATCCCCCTCCCCCCCATGTTCCCCCTTTGCCCCTCTCTCCTCCCCCCTCCTTCCCCCCGTCCCCCGCCCCCCGGTTGTTGCCTATCAGGAACACGCACGTGCTCTCTCCCGCCTCTCCCACCCCTCCCTCCTCCCCCTCGTTGGCTACTCCCCCTCCCCCATGCCCTCTCTCCTCTTCCAATCCGCCCCCGGCTCCGCTCACCCTCACTTACCGCACTCAACCGCTCCCACTCCCCCATCTCCTGCGTCAGCTGTGGTCTCACATGCTGTTCCAGCTGCATCAGCTGCTGCAACTGACCCAGTTTCAGCAGCATCAGCTGCTGGAACAGCAGGTTTCAGCACTTCAGGTTTCAGCACTGACCCAGTTTCAGCACCCACAGAGCCTCTCCCTCTCCCCTGTCCCCTCTCCCTCGCTCTCCCCCACACCGTCACCCCTGCCACCGACGGCGGCGATGGCCCCGGGGGTTTCGCCGAGCGATCCTCGCCGTCGATTCCGCAGCCGAAGCGGTTCCGCAATGGCGGGTTTGCCCGGAGCCGCCTGCCGACCATCCCCAGTATAGGCAGCATCAGTAGCAGCATAAGTGGCAGCAAACGTGGCAGCAGAAGCGGCAGTATAAGTGGCAGCATAAGTGGTAGTTTAAGTGGCAGTGGCAGGTCGCTGCTAGGAGGAAGTGGGAGGTCGCTTGGTGGGGGTTCGGGCTTAGGGGGGAGTGGGCGATCGGGGACAGGAGGCAGTGGGAGGTTGGTTCTTGGGGGTAGTGGGCGATCGGGTGCGGAAGGGAGTGGGAGGTCCCTTGGTGGTGGCAGTGCTGGGTGCTTTTCTGGTAGAAAAGCGGATAGCGATGATGATGATGGTGACGACGAGAAGGAGGAGGATGAGGAGGAGGAGTCCTCTCCGGAGAGAAGTGGAGGGAGTGAGGGGGAGGGAGGGGGAAAGGAGAAGGGGAGATCCAGTGGTGAAAGCGGCAGCAGTGACGGTGCTGGTGCTGCTATCTTAGAGTGTGAAGAGTCACCCACTCCAGAAGATTCGCCCACAGAGAGAGACTTGGCCACAGTCGAGGAATCTAGCATCAGATCAGGACAGTATGTGGACAGAGGAGCAGGAACACGTCTCAGATTCCCCCTAGAAGGTGCAGATCTGGCACGTTCTGTAGAGTCCTCTACAGGGCAGGAAGCTACCAGTGCAAGGAGCGGGAGGGATGCTGCTGCCAGTGGTAGTAGTGGTAGAGATAATGTTGCTAGTGGGAGAACCGAGGCTGCTCTAGGCGGGGATGAAAGCGCCTTTCCTGTTCCTCCAAGGCCTATTGGTAGAGTCTCTGCTGACCTGCTTGCTGCTGCTGCAGTCCTAGCAGCTACCACCACTCAGGAGAGCAACGACGAGGAGAGGAATGATGGCAAGGATGGTGAGAAGGATGGTGGCAATAGTGGGGCAAGTGATGACGGTGATGGTGATAATGACGATGCTGGCAGCAGCAGCAGTGGTGATGATGGTGGTGAAGGTGGTGGTGGTGCTGCTGCTGCAGATTCACACTGCCTCTCCCCCTCCCGCTGCTGGCCCCACCTACCCACTCCCTCCCTCTCTCTCTCCCTCACTCGCTCCTTCACTCGCTCCTCCCGAAGCACTAGAGCTTCAGAGCAAGCAGCAGCTTCCAGTCCATCGCTCCCCGACCCTACCACCACATCCCCCACCACCCTTGCCGAAGCTGGCCCGTCAGGCTCGGACCGAACCTCCGTTCCAGGCTCAGCAGGCGTGGAAGAGGCTTGGAAGGGCGTTAAGAAAAGGATGGAGGGGTGGGAGGCGCGGTTAGACGTGCTAGTGCAGGTGGCAGGGGGATTGGCATACCTGCACCGGCAGGGGATGGTGCATGGGTCCCTGGGACCTGCTAACGTGCTGCTGTGGGAGAAACGCGAGGGGTTGAGAGATGAGTGGGTGGAGAGAGGTGGGTCTGAGAGGTTTAGTGGGGGTGCACTTGGGGCGGTGGAGCGGGTACCGTCTGGAGGGGCAGCGACAGCTGGAGAAACAGCAGCAGGAGCAACTGCAGCAGCTGCAGCAGCAAGAGCAGCACGAGGAGGGGGGGACGGAAGTGGCGTAAGTCTGGCAGCGGATGGAGGAGCGTTTGTGCAGGGAACGAGAGAGGGAGGTCCTTCCACAACAAAAACGTTGTCATTCCCGTCAGGAGCAGCACCCAGCAGCTCCTTGCTGCCCAGAAGCGCAGAGAGAGGCGGCTCTTACATGCCAAAAGTAACCGAGAGAGGAGTGGTCGGAGGAGCGGAGAGAGGAACCGAGAGCGGAGCAGAGAGAGGAGCAGAGAGAGGGGGGCAGGACTCAGAACGAAGCTCCGTGATGCCTGGAGTAAACATCAGCGCTCTGGTAGCCTCGGCCCCACTAGACGCAGACCCAGTGACGCTCTTCACAGCAGCCACAGGCATCCCCACTGACCGGCCCTGCATGCTGCCCCTCAATACCAGTCCGTTCCGAGTTGCCAGCGGGCTGCAGGCTGTGATTGCGGACTATGGGCTGCCCACGGATCTGAGGCTCAGGGCGCTGTTCCCTGCAAGGAATGCGCGGGCGTATGCGAGCGGTGTTGGTTCGATGTACCTGGACCCGTCTCTTAGCCGCCAAGGTAAGCAGACGGGGGTGTTTTGGTTTGGCCTAAGTATGCCAGCGGGCTGCTGGCTGTGACTGCGGACTATGGGCTGCCCACGGATTTGAGGCTCAGAGAGCTCTTCCCTGCGAGGAATGCGCGGGCGTATGCGAGCGGAGTTGGTTCGATGTACCTGGACCCGTCACTGAGCCGCATTGATAAGCACAGAAAAGGGTGTCTTGGCCTATGTGATCGTTTTCTTGCCTATATGCTTCCCGTTCCTCCGGCCTCCCTGTAGGTCCCGGACCCACAGTTCTGAGGCGCCTCAGAAACCTCTTGTTCTTTCTTCTCCTTGCAATTCTCGTGCTATTCATCCTGTCCCTCACCCCCCCACCCCCCCTCCTTCCCTGCCCCCCACCTTCCCGTTAACCCCTCTCTCCTGTCTGCCAGGCCCCTTCCACCCATCCAACGACATCTTTCCCCTGGGAAAGCTCATACAGCACCTGCTGCTCCCGCTCACCCAGCCATCATCGTCACATTCCCCCCATGCCAGTGCAGCGCCTCCTGCCTCCTTCCCCTCGGGCTCCTCTTTTGCACGATCTGGACCGTCCACTTCACGCCTCCTCCCGTCCATCTCGATCTCCTACCACGGCATACCCAGATTAGGTCAGTCGAGGTCAGGTGAAGGAAATGTTCCCGCGCAACCGCTCCCACCCGGAACAACGCAAGCACAAGAAATACAAGCACAAGAAATACAAGCACATAAGCAGGAGATTCAAGCACTCGGGCAGGGACAGGCGTATGGGCAGGGGCAGGTGCAGGAGCAGGTGCAGGAGCAGGTGCAGGTGGATGAGGGGCAGGGGCATCCGGGGCAGGGTATATCTCCAATCCTGTCACCATCCGACTCCCCTGGACCAAACTTCATGTCGCAATGGCGGTCTCTTGCTGCTCCATTCATTGGTGCTGGAGGCAGCAGAGGCGGAGGTGGCCGCAATACCAGCGCTCCTGGAGGTGGTGCTGGTGATATTGGTGGTGGCAGTGTGGTGGGTTCCAGTGAGAAGTACGGCGAGAGCAGTCAGATTGATATCAGCAGCAGGAGCAGTAGCATGGTGCATGGTGGTGGCGGTGAAATCAGCCGCAGCAGCAGCATCAGCAGGAGTGGGCGCAGCAGCAGCATGCTACGAAGCAGCGTGGTCAGCCGGGACAGCAGCATGAGCAGGAGCAGCAGAGGGGGGAGTATGATTCGGGGGTTTGACAGTCGCAGCAGCAGCATTATGCGAGACAGTCGCAGCAGCAGCATTATGCGAGGGATTGAGAGTCGCAGCAGCAGCATGGTCCGAGGTTTTGACAGCCTGAGCAGCAGCATCAGCAGCAACACTACGGGGTTCAGTGTGGGCAGTGGGGTGAGTGTATGGTCTCCATGGCGAACACCCAGGAAAACACCTGGAAGAGCACCTGGGGGTATACCTGGGAAGCTTGGCAGGGGGCTGGAGCAACAGCAACAGGAGCAACAGCAGTGGCAGCAGGAGCAGGGGCAGCAGGAACAGGAGCAGCAGGAGCAGGAGCAGCAACAGCAGCAGGAAGGGCAGGTGGGGATGACGCCTGGAACAACAAGCCCATGGGGTTTTGCTCGAGCACTCAATGTTCTGCCTGCACGCCAAACCCCCATTCCCACCACCACCTCTGCATCCTCTGAACCTGCTGCCTCCACCTCCCGACCCGCGCCGCTCTTCTCTCGAAGTACGAGCTACAAATCGGATGACACTGACCTTCCCACCCCCAGTGTGGATGGGGTTTCAAGCAGCACTCCAACAGCAGCAGATGCAGAACCAGCAGCACCGGAGGAGGATCAGCATTCTAAAGGCGAGCCTTCGGGGTTTCAAATGGAGTGTGTGAAGAATCTAGTGTTGTGGTGTACACATGCGGATCCGTCGTATTGACCGACTGCAATTGTAGTGGAGCAGGCACTGAGGAGTATAGCGGCGACGCGGAGTGTGGAAGAGATAGGTCACAGGCAGGTGCTGCTGGCACGGCTGAGCAACCTCACCCCGCTCGTGCATGTGGGGGCAAGTGAAATGAGCAAAGGCAGCCAGCAGCACATGGAGTGGTTGCTCAGTGGCTAAAGCAGTGGGTAGGCCAATTCTGTCTTGTTGGGACATGTTTTGGTTGCGCACTTCTGAGCTGTGGACAATAATTGAATAAAAAAGGCGGTGGAGTGGAGAGGATTCCCCAAGTTCTGCAATGCAAGCAATGCTCAGGTAGAATCAGAGAGTCTACTTCATTGCATTGTAGGATAGCAGTATGCTGGGTAGATGGAACAGAAGCATCTGTGACAGCCTTATAAGGTGCACCCTGCATGCAATACACTGCATTTTAGTAAAGTCATTATCAACACATCCAGCATCTACCTGGCATCCAGATTTCAGGTCATTCAACACAGCCCATCCGTGGCAAAGGAGTGGCATTGATGCAATGACCTGCGACCCAACCAAACGTCAGTTGCGTAGCAGGGAAGCAAGAATTGCTCACTAACTACGTACTAAGAATCCCTACTTGCTGGGCCGCATGGGAAGACTCTCTGGTAGCACGGATTCTGTCTATCGGCGCTTCTTGGAGGAGCGCTTGGATGTGACGGGTGCGATGACAATGAGGACTGCCACAGCCACGAGGGAGAGGGCTCCCGCCAAAGGACCAAACTGAATGGCTAGATCCTGACGAGGGGAAGAGTGGTGACAGGGTGGAGGGAGACAAAGGTGTAGATTGAGTGTCTGTGAGATAAACTGTGGGTGAGAGGCTGCACGTGGATGAGAGTGCAAGAGAGATTGCAAATTGCAGAGGCAGGATTGTGAGATAAGGTTTGACGGGATGAGATGTTTGTGTGTGTGTGTGTTTTTTTTTCTTTCTTTCTTTCTTTCTTTAATGGACGAACATTTCGAGGAAACTGGGGACTGGGGTGGGAGGAAACAGGAGTTGTGGAGAAAATTGCACAGAGTTATGCAGCAATTGATAATCCAACCCGGGGTCATCAATGTGTACCTTGAGCTGTTGACGATTGTCGGTCCATCAGAACGTGAAGGCCATGCCACAAGCACAGTTCCACAGAAGGGAGGCACAGGGGGGAAAAAGAACGCACGACAAATGAACAAGAATGCATAAGAATGGAAGATTTCACCTAGAGTCATCCTCAGGTGCTTCAAAATTCACAGCTTGCCCCATTCTTCCCAAACATTCTTCGTACGAGAAAAAGAAGGTACAGCGACTCACCCAGAGGTACTTGGCGGCTTGATCCACGGGAGCCAGCAGATCCAGCTCAGGAACGCCCGTCGACTTGGCCGTCTGAAAGAAGCGAATCAGCGACCAGGTGAGGTTACATAATCAATTTGAGGTTACGTTCCGACGTCGTCAAATCAACCAAATTATTTCCCGTCAAACCGTGAAAACCTTTAATTTAAAAGCGGTTCTGGTTGTGAGTAATTAGCGTCACTAACCAGAAGCTGAGCCTTGGATGTGACTCGGAACTTGACGGTAGCTGGAGGGGTGACAAAAGTGCCCTTTTCCTTGGGCTTGACAACGTATGTGTGCGAAACAGATGTTCCCCTGCGACAATGAACAGTGTACAACGAGATCGGAGTCACGGATATGGTAAACAAAACTGATCAACAACACTTGATCCACCCTCATGATTTGGCAAAAAGGTTGACTTTTGGAAGGTTCGAAAAAGAAAATCAGCAAAGAACCCATTTGCTGAACAACTAAGACAAAGCTTACATGGCAAGGGAGTCCCAGGTGTGGGTGGTGTTACCGACCACCTCGAACAAATCCGACGGCCAGTTCTCGTCGTCCAACAAGACATCGTATGCGATGCTGCGAGAGAAACGGAAAACGGGAATGAAACGTCGGCGATAATGAATATAATAAAGCGGGATTTGGATTAAGATGTGATGAATGATCGACGATGCCGCGATATCGGACTAAAATATACCTTCCGCCGGCGTTGTAAATCTTAATGTTCACAGAAATGTCCTCATCGTTCTCTCTGATCTTCTTGATCTTCACGGATTTCGACACCAGCAGAAATGGAGCGTCGGCAGAAGATTCCGCTGTCTCGGCGATCGCATTCTGAACAACACACAGAAGGCCGAGTGCTACAACAAGCAGGCTAAGAACTCTCAAAGCAGCCATGATAGGAACTCCCAACGAAATAATCTGTCAGTGAAAGAGTTAGCTGACAAAGATATGATGAAGAATCTGAATCAAAAACGATAATCTCAAGGTTCTAGATCGAGCAGGACCAACTAGGCCCGATGGAGAGGGATGGAAGATTTGGTTGGTTGGGCACAGGTTGCGTGGTTCGTCTGTTACATCACTCATTCACGAAAGTAACGAGTTCACTCTTGCAAAATGTTCGCTTGTAGGCAATGTGTAATAGTGTAGCTAAGTGACTGTTCGTCGGTGGAGCGCTTGTTCGCTTATTACTAAGGGCGGTTCGCCATCCTTCGCGAATGTTCAAACCCCAGTCCTCAACTCCCTCCCAGCACTTCTCTTCCCTCTTCCTTGCCGCAGTCACACAAACTGCAACATCCACAACTCCTGCCTGAACCCTGAACAAGTCCCAAGGTCCCCAGCCCATTCTTGGCATTCTTTCAGTGCCCAGCTTAGCTTGATTGCCTGGCCGCGCCGGTCCGGATCCAGCTCCGGGTAGGCCGTGTACACGTGCCCTTTTGCCACGTGTACTTAGCTTTTATTACGTTTTTTGTATGCTACAAGAAATAATACCTGATACGTTTCTTTAGCCTTTAACTGGTAGTTTTGAGCACTCCAGTCTCTGCTTGCCAAGTGCACTCGCATTAAATCCGGCGAGCTCGGATCTTGACTCTTAATTGGCTTAGGCACTCACGGAGTATCGCTTAATAAGGACTGAAGAGATACCGTTTGGTGACAACCTTGAATTTCTTCATGGCGGATCACGAGGAGGCTAATAAGGAGGAAGTCGCGGGAGACGTGGAAGTGAAGGAAGCGCAACCCGAAAAGGCGAAGGAGGAGAAGAAAGATCGCAAGGACCGGAAAGACCGCGACAAGGAAAGGGACAAGGACAGAGACAAAGACAGGGACAAAGACAGAGACAAGGAGAGAGACAAGGACAGAGACAAGGATAAGGGTCGAGATAGGGACAAGGACCGCGATCGCGAGCGGGACAGGGACCGGGATCGGGACAGAGGACGAGACCGCGGGAGGGATAAGGATCGGGATAGAGACAAGGACAAGGGGAGAGATAAGGACAAGGAGCGAGAGAGGGGTTCGGAGCGGGACCGTGATCGCGATCGCGATCGCGAGAAGAAGCGAGACCGTAGTAGATCGCCGGATGGAGGCCGTTACCGTCGCAGCCGTCGCCTGGGCGGCTACTCGCCCAGGCGACGAGAAAACGACCAGGGAAATCGCACGCCGTCGCCGGGGTCGCGCGCTCGCAAGCAGCCGTCGCCGGAGAGGAGGAAGAAGCGCGGGTGGGATCAGGGGCCGGAAGGCGTGGACCCTGCGATTGCGTCGGTCATGGCACACGTGGCAGCCGCTCAGCAAATCGCCGCCACGCAGACCGCCGCCATGGGCTATGGCGGAATGGGCGGATTCGGCGGCATGGGGGGAATGGGGGGGATGGGGGGGATGGGGGGAATGAGTGGTATGAGCGCGATGTTGGATCCCGCGATGCTGGCGCAGCAGGTGGCGGCGGCGCAGCAGACCGCCGCGGCGATCACCGCAGCCGCGCAGGAGCAGAATCTCATTCCCGCCGCGCAGTACGACGCGGGGGGGTTTGACTCGTACCAGCAGCAGCACACCCCGCAACCGATGGCGCAGGCGCAACCTTCCGCGCCGATGAACCCGGAGCTCGCGCAGCAGCTGCAGGAGGCGCAGCAGAAGGCAGCCGCGGCGCTAGCCGCCGCAGCGCAGGGGATCCTTCCGCCAAGCCTGACCGGGGGAGCGCCCGGGGGAGGCGGGGAAGGCGCGGGGCTGCTGTCGCAGCCGGCGGGGGCGCCGGCGCCGGCGCCGTCGCTGGCGCAGCTGACGCGGCCGGCGCGGCGGTTGTACGTGGGGAACGTGGCGCCGCAAGTGACGGACAACGATCTGCTGGAGTTCGTGAACGCGTCCATGGCGTCCATCGACGCCGCGGAGGACGGCCGCAAGCCCTGCATCGCCGTCACGGTTCGTGCTGCGTTGCGTTGGGGTTGCGGTGAATGGATTGGGTGGCTGTTTGTGTGTTGGAGTGGCGGTGCGTTGGGGTGGCGGTCAATGCGTTGGGGCTGGCTGCGAGTATTGCGTTGGGGTTCCGGTCCGTACTTTGTAGCTGTGGGCGATCCCTCGGTCAGAACTGAGCGGTTTTGGTTCCTGCGTGCAGGTTGTCGTTGGTGCGTTAGGGTTGGTTATGACTTGTAAGCTCCCCCCGCCCTCTTTCCCCCGCTCACATTTACCCGTGCCCCCACGCTCTTTCCCGTGGCTCCGCCCTCTTCCTCCCCTCCCTCCCGCATGTCCCCGTGTCGCCGCGCCCTGCCCTGCTCCTCGCACGCATTTCTCCGTGCCTCCGCGCCCGCCCCTGCCCCCCGCGCTCTTCCGCGCCCCCGCGCGCATTTCCCCGTACCCCTCTGTGCGCAGTCGAACAAGGAGAAGGGGTTTGCATTCGCGGAGTTTGAGAAGCCCGAGGACGCTACAACCGCGCTATTCCCCATCTTTCCCCACCCCCTCCCCCTTCTCCCGCAACCCCCACTTTGCTCCCGTGCCTCCCGCTCTCTTCCCCGTGCCCCCCGCTCTCTTCCCCGTGCCCCCCGCTCTCTTCCCCGTGCCCCCCGCTCCCTTCCCCGTGCCCTCCGCTCTCTTCCCCGTGCATCTGTGTGCGCATTTGCGGGCTACAGTCGAACAAGGAGAAGGGGTTTGCGTTTGCGGAGTTTGAGAAGCCCGAGGACGCTACAACCGCGCTACAGCTGGACGGCATCGTGCTGCACGGGGTGGGGCTCAAGATCCGCCGCCCCAAGGACTACAACCCCATGCACGCGGTGAGTGAGAGTGCTGTGTGCGCGCGTTGACCCGCGTTGACCATGCTACAACCGCGCTACAGTGTGCTGCACGGCGTGGGGCTCAAGATCCGCCGCCCCAAGGACTACAACCCCATGCATGCGGTGAGTGGGGGCTGTGTGCGCGCGCACGCGGTGAGTGAGAGTGCTTTGTGCGCGCGCGCACGCGGTGAGTGAGAGTGCTTTGTGCGCGCGCGCACGTGGCGATTTGGGCTGTATGCTTGTGTGAAGGCGACTTTTGCATCTCACGGGGTTGTAGCGCCGTTCTGTCTTTCATTCCTTCCCGTTTTCCGCATTCACCCCTCCCCCTCCCCCGTATCCCAAAATCCCACCCCTGCCTCCTGTATCTTTGTTAACGTAGTTTGCCGTGTTTCATCGCCTGATCTTTCCCCTCCCACAACCCCCGCCCCCCCCTTCTCCTTCCTCCCCCCCCTTCCCGCCCGCTCCCCCTTCTCCTTCCCCCCCCTCCTTCTCCCCACCCTACCTACCCCGTTTTTACCCTGGCTGACTTATCCCGCTGTCCCTGTTCCCCTCACACAGCCCGGGTCAGATGCGAACGCCATAGCGCTCGGCGGAGGGGGCGTGCCCAGGCCAGTGGTGGCTGCAGCAAAGGAGGTCATCACCAACGTCGTGCCGGACGGGCCTAACAAGGTGCGCGCTGGGGCCTTGGACTATGGGGATGGATGGGTGGGGCTTGAATGAGGTGCGGGGTGGGGCGCAGGGAGGGTTAAGGGTGGCAGCTGCAGCAAAGGAGGTCGTGCCGGACGGGCCTTATAAGGTGTGCGCTGGGGCTGGGAACGTGTAGGACGGGGCTTAAATGAGGTGCGAAGTGGGGTGGGGTTTAGAAGATATGCGGGGATGGGCTGCATGCAGCAATATGGGGCATGGGGAGGAATGCTTTTGGGGTCGACTTGATTAAGGTGTGATTGGTTTAGAGCAGTTTATGCTAACCTCGTGTGCTTTCTCACTCATCCTGTCATCTCCCCTCCTTACTGTGTTATGCCTTTCCTGAATGATGCATGTGATGGTGCATGCGACTCTGCATGTGATGTTCATGGGATGGTGAATGCGATGGTGCATGTGATGGTTCATATGATGGGGTATATGATGGTGCATGGTGTTTGCAGTTGTTTATAGGCGGCATCCCCCCATCGCTATCAGCTGAAAAGGTACACTGTCGCACCCTCTTTCGTTTGGCCCCTCTTTATTTTCCCTTAACATTTTTCCAACCTGTATCACACCCCATGCTCTGCTCTCACGCCCCATGCCCCCCCTCCCACCCTCCTCCCTCCCCCCTCTCCCCTCGCCATTTACGCTCGATACCTCTTGTCCCATGCCCGATTCGTTGAACTCCACATACGTATCCTCGCCCGCCCTATGTCCAGCTGCAGTCCTTTTCATGCCTCGCCTCCCGTCTGCACCTTTTTACCTCCCACGAAACTCCCCTCGGCTCACCCATTCCCCTCTGCACCCCACTACCCAGATTCGCGAGGTGCTGTCAGCGTTTGGGCAGCTGAGGGCGTTCCGCAGGGAGCTGGACCTCAACGCCAAGCCCCCGCGCGCATTTGCATTCACTGAGGTCAGTCGTTTGTACCCTAAACCTCCACGTGGGTTCAAGCAAGCACCAGCATCTGGGCGTTTGGGCAGCTGCGGGTGTTTCGCAGGGAGTTGGATCTCAACGCCAAGCCCCCGCGCGCATTCGCGTTCGCCGAGGTCAGCTCCTGTGCTATTCGCCTTCACATGCACACTTGCATTCGCGTTTGCTGGCTGGAGTCAAATTCCGTTGCACCCTAAACCCTGGACCCTAAAGTCCCGCTCAGCTCATGCGAGTGCGGCCCCAGCCGCCCCCACCCACCTCTTGCCCCGCTTTCGCCTTTGCTTCGCTGGTTTTGAAGTAGATTCGAGCTCGTACTGTTTCCAACTTCTCCCACCCTTCCCAAGCCCATTTCCCCTCAACCCCCTCCCCCCCCCCCTCCTCCCCCCCTCCCCCGCCACTGTCTCCGCCCCGACCCCTTCTCTTCCCCCTCCCACGCTGCTAGTCGTTTTTTTTCGCTCATCTGCTGCTACATCATGTTACTTCCACCCCTTGTTGTGTGTGTGCCCCGTTATTGCATGACCCGTTACTGCATGACCCGTTACTGCATGACCCGTTATTGCATGACCCGTTACTGCATGACCCGTTATTGCATGACCCGTTACTGCATGACCCGTTACTGCATGACCCGTTACTGCATGACCCGTTACTGCATGACCCGTTACTGCATGACCTGTTACTGCAGTACATGGATCCGAGTGTGACGAGTGCAGCACAGGCGGGGCTGAACGGGCTGCCTCTGGGCCACCACGCCATTCTCACCGTCGTCAGAGCCACTCCTGATGCCCCTGAGGAGGTACGATACAACCTGTTTATCTGTGACAATGTTGATATGTCCTTGAAGCGAGTAAATACTGAACAGGCTGCCTCTGGGCCACCACGCCATCCTCACCGTCGTCAGAGCCACCCCCAACGCGCCTGAGGAGGTATGGTTTTCTATGGGGATATTGATACGTCTCTTAGCTTATCGAGTGCAGCACAGGCGGGGCTGAACGGGCTGCCTCTGGGCCACCAGGCCATCCTCACCGTCGTCAGAGCCACTCCCAACGCGCCTGAGGAGGTACGATGTGGTTTCAATGTTTTGATCAGGACAACGTATTGGTTCTTGAGGCGTTGCATTGACTGAACGGGCTGCCTCTGGGCCACCAGGCCATCCTCAGCGTCGTCAGAGCCACTCCCGATGTTTCGAGGATGTCTTCTAATTGCCAATACGCCAATAAGACATTCTCCCTCCTCCTCCTCCCTCTCCCCCCTCTTCCCTCTCCTTCCCTCCTCCCTCTCCCTCCCTCCTATCACTTGCCCCTACCCCCTCTCCTCCGCCTCCCCCTCGTCCTCCTCTCCCCCCTCCCTCTCCTCCCCCCTGCACTCGCTGCTGTGTGTGCCTGCAGCCCCCTCCTGACGCCACACCGACCTACTCCATTCCCGAGGAGGCCAAACCGCTGATGCAGACTCCCACACGCATTCTGGAGATTTGTAACCTGGTGCGTTGCTTGGAACCCGAACCCTTAGTTGTAACTATTGGTTGTAACCTGATGCGTTGCTTGTAACCCTAACCCCTAGTTGTGACCCTTGGTTGTAACCTGGTGCGTTGCTTGTAACCCTTTGTTGTATCTTGGTGCATTCGTTTTCATTGTAAGCCAATAAGGAGAGCATTCCCGCGAGTTCAGACAGCACTTGCAATCTAATAGGCACACCATCACATCACACACACCCATTCCCCCCGTCCGCCCCCCTCCTCCTGCTCCTTTCTTGCGTGTGCGTGCACACACACAGATGACAAAGAAGGAGCTCAGGGCGATGAGCGAGGAGGAGTTTGAGGACCTAGAGGAGGACATTCGCCTCGAGTGCAAGCGGTGCGTGCTGTGCTGTGGTATAGTGTGGTGTGGTGCGGTACGGTGTGGTGTGCTGAGGTGTGCTCCTTGAGTACCTGGAGGAGGACATTCGCCTTGAGTGCAAGCGGTGCGTGCTGATACCATTGAGGACCTGGAGGAGGACATGACTGTGCCGCTTTCTACCTTGGGCCCCAGATGCATGTGAATGCTCATTTCCTTCTGCAAATATGCACATATGCATGCTGTATCTGATACTGTTTTGTTTTTAGATGTCTCATAGCTTGCTTGTGTCCATTTGCTGCCTGCATCTGCATTGGCAGGTTTGGCACGGTTAAATCGCTGCACATCGTTCGTCCCAAGGATGTTACCAACCCTGATGATAGCGACAGTGACAGTGACGAGGAGGAGGAGAAAGCAGAGGTGAAGGAAGAGGTGAAGGAGAAGTTGGAAGGGATTAAAGAGGAGGAGGAGAACGAAGAGGGGGGAAAGGAGGTGAAGAAGGAAGAAGAGGAGGTGAAGGAAGGGAAGGAGGAGACAAAGGAAGGGACGGAGGTTAAGGAAGGGGAGGTGAAGGAGGGAGAGCAGGAAGCAGCAGCAAGCGATGCGGGTAAGGAAGTGAAGAAGGACCAGGAGGAGGAGAAGGATGCTGGGAAGGATGAAGGTCTGGGTGGGGGTGATGAGGAGGCTAATAAGGAGGAGGAGAATAAGGACGCGGAAATGAAGGATGTGGAAGCAGTGGCGGGTGAAGAGGCAGTAGAAGCTCCTAAGGAGAAGGTGGAAGGAGCAGCGGAGGGAGAAGCTGTAGCAGTAGCAGAGGAGGATGATGTGGAGGAGGTGGTTAAGGATGAGGAGGGTGGGGTGAAGGGAGGAGAGAAGGAGGGGGAAGAGAAAGAAGGAGCAGAAGAGGGAGGCGATGAGGAGATGAAAGAAGCAGAGGAGGAAGCAGAGGGCAAGGGTGAAGGGAAGGCAGAGGAGGAGGGTGGGGAAGGTGCAGATGCGCCAGGAGAGTCTGTGGTTGAGGAGGTTGAGGTGGCTCGAGCCGAGGAGGAGGGTGGGAAAGGCGCAGCAGGAGAGCCTGTGGTCAAAGTAGCTCGAGCGGAGGAGGAAGGTAGTGACTCGGATAGTGATGTGGTGGAGGTAGTGCCAGAGACACGAGGGGAGGTAGAGAAGGGAGAGAAGGAAGAGGAGGAGAAGGGGGAGGAAGAGGTGGAGGAGGTGCAGGGCGGTGTGCGTGCGTCTGAGAAGAGTGGTGAGGGGGAAGGGCATGCACTTGATGGGTTGGCGGATATTGCTGCTGCTGCCGCTGCTGAGACGGCAGGGGACAAGGAGGAGGGAGATGCTGAGGGAAAAGAATCCGAGGGTGGGGGAGGGTTTGCCCTTGATCTGAATGTGACTGTTGAGGGGGAGGAGGAGGGTGGGAAGGGTGGAGGAGCGAAAGAGGAGGCAGAGGGCGGGAAGGACGAGACAGAGGGAGCAAAGGAGGAGGTGTATGAGACGGCTTCAGAGGATGAAGGGGAGAAGGGCGAGGGAGGGGAGGAGGCTAAGGCGGAGGAGGGTGCAGAGGCTAAGAAGGGTGAAGAGGCAAAGGAGGGTGTGGAGGCGAAGGAGGGTGAAGGGAAGGAAGGGAGTGGGAAGGAGGGAGAGGGTGAGGGGAAAGCGGAGGAGGGGAAACAGGAGGAGCAAGAGGGGAAAAGTGAGGAGAAGGATGGGAAGCAGGAGGCAGACACAGTGGAGGGAGCAGCTGCGGGGAGTGCTGTGAAGGAGGGAGAAGGCACAGAAGCACCAGGAGAGGGAGCAGCAGATGAAGCAGCAGAGGGAGCAACAGCGGGAGCAGCAGAAGAAGCAGCAAAGGGAGGAGCAGCGGAAGCAACAGAGGAGGGGAAGGAGGGCACAGAGGGGAAGGATGCAGAGAAGAAGCAGGGAAGTGAGGAGAGCAAGCCGGAATCCGCTGCAGCAGCAGCACCTTCCGCTGCTGCTGCCTCTGCTACACCTGCCGCTCCTGCTGTCCCTGCTGCTGCCACAGCCCCTGCTGCTAGTGCTGGCACTGCGGTTGCCACAGCTCCTGCTGCTACTGCTCCTCCCACAGGAGCCACACCCGCTGCTGCCAATGCTGTCCCCATACACCCACCTGGAGTCCCAGTGGCCTTCCCTGTCCCTGTGCGCATGCCTGCCCCCGGCCCCCCCATGCCCCTGATCCCTGGAGTCACCTTTCCCGCCCCCTTCCGCCCCCCGATCCTCGTCCCCCCAGGCATAGATGTACCTCCCCCAGGTGTCGCCACCCCAGCTGCTACTCTTGCTGCGCCAGGTTCTATCCGCTTCCCTGCTCCGTTTGCCCCTGGTGCTCCTCCCCCAGGCGCTGGCAAGGGGTTACTGGGGCACCAGCCGGGGCAGGTGGGAAAGCCGGGAGAAGCAGGTAAGCCAGGGCAACCCGGGGCTATTGTGCTGGCTGGGTCTAAAGGGATGGGGGATTTGGTGGATGCGGCGCGGAGGGGTGAAAGGGAAGTGGAGAAGTGGAGGGTTGGGAGGGCGTATGTGGAATTTTCGCGAGAGGAGAGTGCGAGTCGGGCGGCGCATATGTTGCATGGGAGGGTGTATGCGGGGAGGAAGGTGACATGCTCGTTTGTGCCACTGAGGGTGTATCAGAAGAAGTTTAACAAGGGGTTGAAGCCGCGCACGCACGAGGAGAAACAGGAAGCTGCGCTGGCTGTGCAGGCACATTTGACGTCCCACTTGCCTGATGACTTTTAGAGGATATGTAATTTGTGTGCTTTATGCTTGTGTCTGTTGAGATCTCAATGAGTTCTCTGATTTAACATCAACCATCTAGGCCCACTTTGCCTAGATTTGTTTGGAACATTGTAATGAGCGCAAACGTGTGTTCTTAGATTCTCTTACCTTGGAACACAGTGCTTTATAAGGGTATGCTACAGTGAATTCAACCATTGTCAAACAGGGTAAGCGGGATGTTTCTCCAGGATCCCCGCAGATAACTTGTCTATAAATGTTTCGTTTTGCCCGAGCAGTTTCGATACCAACACAATGCGTTTTCCGATTGGCTCATTGTGCAACTCTGGGCACTAAACAAAACATTTGCTGTGTGGTGCTGGATTGGTCGTCTGCCACGCTAGCGGTTTACAAAGGCGCTTCTCAGCCGGGGAGCTTTTGGTGATTGTCCGACGTGGCCGCGGTGGCCACCAGCCGCAATTGCTGAATCCGCCCCCTCCCCTCTTCGACCTCCGCTTCGCATCTCCCCGTTCAGCTGTTGGCGCCCAACAGACCCCTCCATCTCCCCGGAAGGAGGGTTGACCCCTCCATTTCCTCCGCAATCCCCCTCAGCCACGAATCCTGCAAGCTGCCTCCCCGCAAGCCACTGTTGCTACAGTGGTGACGTCACGTCCTTCAGCTCTCCGCTCCTTCACCTCCCTCCTTATTACCCGACCACTTTCCCCCAAGAATTCCATTTTATAATTGGGTGTCTGGCCAGACTTGCTTTCTTGGTCCTTCAACTTTCAGGAAAACAAGCCATGGCTTACCCACTGATCGCGTTGTTCGTGGCTTCGCTGGCCGTTCAGGCTTCCGCGTCTGCACAGCAAGCCCAGGATGGCTGCATCACGAACTTCGATCCCACTGTGAACTATTTTCCGGACCAGTACCAGGACGAGCCGTTCGCTCTGCCGATCAGCCAGACCATTGTGGAGAAAGCAAATGACTTCACGGTGCAGTATGGTAACTATTACAAGGTCGTTAAGAACAGCTACGATGATACCACCTACGTCCTCTATCAGGTACATCCCATTCTCAGCTTCAGATCTGGATACACATTGCGATCATTTTCGCTATCTGTGACTCTGTCCTGATTTTCACATTACCATTTTTTCTTGTGTTTATTGTAGTGTGGAGCTGCCAAGCCCACGAACTTCCCTGCTGCGACCACCCGGTTCTTTGAGATCCCCCTGAAGGGTTTCTCCGTCGACTCTTCCGTTGCAGGTGGGACTTCATTTCGTGTTTTTTATTCTGTTTTTATTATATTTCTCCAGATTTCGTCTGACTAACTTGTCACAATGCTGTTACTTTTATGCTGTGATTGTGTGTTTTCCTTTTCGAACCATACTGCTTATGGATTGTTCAGTTAGCTTCGTCCAGGTAATTTTCGTGAAATATCGAATATGCTGTAGCGTTTCAACCGCGTGGATGTAGATTTTCAACAAGCGGTTTCACTAAGTATTTGTCCTGGCCTCACCCGCAGATGCTGGGCGTGACCAGCCTTCTCAACGAGACGAGCAGCTACTCTGTAGCTCCATGCGTTCAGAAGCTCGTGGCTGACGGTGCCATGAAGGTTTTCAATGAGAGCGATGGTCTTTTCCCTGGTGCGGTTTTCACCGGAATGAACACCCTGAAGCCATTCCCCAAGAACTATGTCTCGCTGGACACGTCGACCGACCCTGGGCCTCTCAAGGTGCGCGTGAAGGGAATGTCCTCTGTTTCATGTCAAGTTTATCTGTCCATGTTACAGTTTTAATCTGAAGCGATGATACATTTCTCTTCTCTTGCAGCGCGCGGAATGGATCAAGTACATGGCTCTGTGGTTCAATACTGAGTTGCGCGCGTCGGAGGTCTACTCTGACGTAAGTAATCATTTTCGAGCTGTAGAGTTTGCTGACCATCAGAGAAACTGTGGTTCAAATTTACAAATGCTCAAGGAACTTATCTGCCTTGTTTTACTTTTCCAGATTGAGACGTCGTACAACTGCTTGAAGGCGTCTGCTCCTAAAACCACCACGCCAACGGTTGGCTGGCTGAGCTATTTCATGGTGAGACCGAAACAGGGAAAAAATGTTATCAGAAAGTGTAACAGCTGTTATGGTTGTTAACTTTCCTGTTGTATGTGCGCACTTTGTTTTCCCTACCAGGATTCGTGGACCGTCTCTGGTGCTACGTACAAGCTTCAGGTGCGTTTTAGCTATCTACCAATTGGAGTGCTCGCTGTGTGTGTGGCTTGGTATGAACGAACTCTAACGTGCAATATGTTTTTTTCAGTATGTTGCGGACGCTGGTGGTGTGAGCCCCTCCAAGGCGTTTCTGAGGACATACAACATGTCTCTTCCATCTGATAAGAAGGCTTTCCAGACACTGCTTGCGGTAGGGATTCCATGCTCAACTATGCCTGATCATGCATGAATTCATTCACCAACTTCTGTGCTGAACGATCGAGGAATCTTGGTTGCAATGGCAGACTCTTGACATCGTCATTGACGAGACCTACCTGATGACTGGCCCGTCAGGCTACAGCATTGATGCTTTTGCACTGAATGCTGGCATCTCTGTGACTGATACCGCCACTTACAAGTTCCTCGCTACTCCCAATGTCTGGAGCATGTATGGCCGCGCCACTGGAGCTCCCAACTACGCCACTGGTGCGCATTTGGTCCCCATCCTTAGCAGCATATGTGACGTCCCCTTTTCGCATTTAGAGCATTCGGTTTTTACTAACCTTGGTCTTATCTGACTGTCTCCTGTGCAGACTGGTATGAGAGCGCCATTGCTCAGCCCCAGGTGGTTCTTGCTGAGCTGATCTCGATCATGCATCCTGGCGATGTGGCCATTCCTGAGAAATACTATTTCTACAATATTGCCCAGGTATGTTTTCTATCCCACTTATCCTGGCCAGTGTCCGATTCAAATGCCTTTTTGCTAGATTAATCAACAGTAGTGCAACTATGTGCAACATGCTAACTAGCACTTCTGGTGTTGCTTTTGCAGTTGGAGATGGGTGCGATGGTCTCTGCAGCCAACTGCACAACCCTGGACCCCACAGAGGTGGTTAACCCCATCATCCCTGCCTGCTCAGCTACCATTACTCCTGAGGTTCCAGGAACGGCATCCCCTCCCAGCTCACCCCCTCCCAGCTCATCCCCTCCCAGCTCATCCCCTCCCAGCTCACCCCCTCCCAGCTCATCCCCTCCCAGCTCATCCCCTCCCAGCTCACCCCCTCCCAGCTCACCCACCCCTAGCTCGCCCCCACCTGCCCCCAAGGCTGCTGCATCCTCTGGCTCCCTGCTTGGCGCTGGTCTAGCTGCCCTTCTTGCTGCTACTATTACAGCATTGGTCTAGAGGTATCCATTTTGGATGTAACCAGGTTGGCTTCTGTGTTAAGAGCTATCTTCAAAGATATGCCGCTCTCTTCAAAGATTCGATCGTGAAGAATTTTATCGACTGTTTGCATTTCTTAGCTACCGCATTTGGCCGTTGAAAAACCGTTGACAAATTTACAGGTGCAGGTGGACACATGGTGCTGGTACAAGTATGCATTGGATGTATGGTAGAAGAGAGCTTGCTTCTTCACCTGGCATACGAGATGGTGCACATAACAAATTCAAGGCAACAAATCTGGCCACAGCACATCAACCAGTGGACAGGTGATATGATCGAGCACAACTATGTTGCACCAAACATGTTGTAGCTCAGTCACACACCATTGAGCACATGACACAGAGTAGCTGCCAACTGTCGGTTCGTGACTGGCTTGAGCAACACAGCATCCATGCCTGCTGCTACGCATGCCTCTGGCATGCCACTGTCCGTGCGTGCAGTGAGACCCACTATCAAAGGCCGCTCGTCGGGACTGAAATTCGACACGAAAGGGAGGTAGAGGGGGGAGGGAAAGCGACTGTGGAAATGAGTCGTAGAGGCAATGGAGTGGGTTGGCTCGTGACAGGAAAGGATAAGAGGATGGAGAGTGAGAGGAGGTTGTGCAAGAGTAAAAGGTGGAAGTGGATTAAGTGGCAAATGAAGGCGCGTTGGGTGCACAATGGACTGGCAGCACACAGAATAGCATGGTTCAGCGAGGCATGCAAGGAGACAGCACGAAAAGGTGATGTGCAAATGGAAGGCGGACTCAACACCATCACTATCAGGCATGCAGGCATACTGCTGTAAGTCATGTCGCTAAACTCGATGCACAAGGTGGAACGCAAGAGAGCATACCGGAAGAAGCAGCGAATGCGGCGGGCGACTTCAGAGCCATTGACATCGGGCATGCAGACATCCAGCAGACTTTTGAGCCGACTCAGAAGTCACCTCAATACAGAATGGGGGGAAACTGCACGAGAGCCTACCGGAAGAGGCAGTGGATGCGGCGGGCCACTTCAAAGCCGTCAACATCGGGCATGCAGACATCCAGCAGCACGACATCCACCGGCGGGACTGCGGGGCTCTTGCGCGTGGTCAGCTCCATCTGGCACTCCTGCGCACTGCCCACGCTGCTGACGTGGCACCGCAGCGTCAGCAGCATCTGATGTGTCGCGATGCGATTCGCCACATTGTCCTCGACTAGCTGAGGGAGAGGCAGGGCGGGCAGAGGAGGAGGAAGCCGGTGTTAGGACGCGGGGGAAGGAACTCAGGGACAGAAGGGTGCAAAGGGATGGAAGGAATGCAGGATGCAGGAATGCAGATGCAGGTACAATGGGGATGGCTGGGCAAAGGGGCAACAACAGTGCAGTACCGGAGGAAGACATACATGCACGCATGTATGCACTCACCAGCACATGCACCCCTTCAAGCTCCTGTACATAAGAATCCATCGATGAAACCGTGCTGTCACTAAACGCCGAACCCTCATCCTCATCCTCCTCATCCTCCTCGTCTTCTTCTTCATCATCATCATCATCCCCATCCATGTACGAATACTCTTCGCCACCCTTCCTCACCCCCCCTCCCCTGCCCTCCTCCCCATCCACACCATCACCAGCACCATCAAACCCGCTATTCCAAAGCAACCCATTGCTCCTCTCCTCTCCCCCACCAACCCCATCAACACCTGCCCTTCTACCTCTCCTCCTCGCCCTGCTACTAGAAACCCGCCCCCCCCTCTCCCTGAACCCTACATTCTGTCTCTTGGTTCGATCCAGCACTAACCGCACTACAAACGTTACTGTTGCACCTAACCCCTCCCCATCGCTCTCAATCCAAATGTACCCCCCCATCAGCTGCACAAACTTCTGGCAGATCTCAAACCCTAGCAACGTCCCTCCCTTCCTCTCTTCCCCTACTCCCTCTACCCCGTTTCCCTGCCCCTCTCCTCCTCTTCCTCCTCCTCCTCCACTCTCCCCATCCGCATCACTCGCTCGCTGCTGCTGCAGCAGCAATGCCTGGTGCTGCCTAAACTCCATGGCTGTCAGGCCACACCCCGAGTCCTTGATATCCACACGAATGTTCACCAAGTCTTGACCCAGCAGCAACTGCACGAAGCGGAAGGGGGAATGGGAGGTTTGAGTCTTGAGATGATTAAGAGCCAGCAGCAGCGCCTGGTGCTGCCTAAACTCCATGGCTGTCAGGCCACACCCCAAGTCCTTGATATCCATGCGAATGTTCACCAAGTCTTGACCCAGCAGCAGCTGCAGGGGCGAAACGGGTTGCATACATGCCAAGGCGGATAAGATTACATTTGACTTGGAAAAAAAAAAAAAAAAACATGTGAGGCTACATGAATCCTTGCGAAGGCAACAGGGAGGGGCTTGAGATAACAGCAGCAATACAGTTGATTGCATTCCACAAAGGCCCAGCTCCTACCTCCCACGGCGTGTGTGGCTGGAGGCCGAGCGAATTCTCCCCTGCCGCGGCAGCTGCAGCGGCAGCAGCAGGGCGGAAAGAAGCAGCAGCAGGGCCATCACCGACTGTGAAGGAGGACTGGGAGGAGTGGGGCCGGGGGGTCTGCCCATCGTCCACTGATACCCGCACCGACACAAAGCCCTGCTTGGGAGAGGGGAATCGAGAAACGGGGGGGTGGATGAGGGGGGGTAAGGGGGGGGGTGGTGGTTTGAGACCAGCTGAGAAAGGGGAAGAGGAGCAGGACGGTTTAGCCCACTCCCTGATATAACAATTTCCCTCCCGAACCTCCCTCCCTTGGCAACGTCACCTCATCCGTCTTCTTCACGGCCCGTCCAATAAGGTGCAGCATGAGTCACAGTAGCCTCTTCTCATCGCCCACCACATACCGCGGCACCACTGAAGCACACCAGCAGCCAGACTGAACCCCACCCACCCAGCTATCCCGCTCACCTCATCGGTTTTCTTCACGGCTCGCCCAATGAGGTGCAGCATCAATCGCAGCAACCTTTTCCATCGCCACCACATACCGCAGCGCCACTGAAGCACACCAGCAGCCAGGCTGCCCCCCCAAACCCACACCACCCCTCCGCACTCGCTCACCTCATCCGTCTTCTTCACGGCTCACCCAGTCAGATGCAGCATCAATCGCAGCAGCCGCTTCTCATCGCCCACCACGTACCGCGGCACCACCCCCACCACCTACAGGGAGAACACAGCCCCTTGGACTGTTGAGAATTCTCAAAAGTTCAATCACCCCCATCACCTTCAGGGAGAACACAGCCCCTTGGACCGCACCAGCGGCCCCTGCTGCCCCAGGCCCTTCCTCTGACCCTCCTCCCTCCCGCACACCTCATCGGTCTTCTTCACAGCCCGTCCGATCAGGTGCAGCATTAGTCGCAGCAGGCGCTTCTCATCGCCCACCACGTATCGCGGCACCACCCCCGCCACCTCCAACCAATGATAACCGCAGCCCCTTGGACCGCGCCAGCGGCCCCTCCCTCCCCTGCTGCCCCAGGCCCTTCCCCTGACCCTCCTCCCTCCCGCTCACCTCATCTGTCTTCTTCACGGCCCGTCTGATAAGGTGCAGCATTAGTCGCAGCAGCCATTTCTCATCGCCCACCGCGTATCGCGGCACCACTGAAGCACACACCAGCAACCAGACTGAAACCCACCCATCCATCCATCCATCCACCTCACCTCATCGGTTTTCTTCACGGCTCGTCCAATGAGGTGTAGCATCAACCGCAGCAGCCTTTTTTCATCGCCCACCATGTACCGCGGCACCACCCCCGCCACCTCCAGGGAGAAGCGCAGCCCCTCGGACCGCACCAGCAGCCCCTGCTGCCCGTCCCTTCCCCTGACCCTCCTCCTCTCCCGCTCACCTCATCCGTCTTCTTCACAGCTCGCCCAATCAGATGCAGCATTAATCGCAGCAGCCTTTTCTCATCGCCCACCACGTATCGAGGCACCACCCCCGCCACCTCCAGGGAGAAGTGCAGCCCCTTGGACCGCACCAGCGGCCACGCCAGCTTCCCGGCTTCCCGGCACAGCTTTCGCAGGTCAAAGGGACGCTTCTCCAGATGCAGACTGGGGGCATAAGGTGGGGTCGATTGAAAAAAGAGAGACGGAGGATGGGAGAATGCTAAGTCGGTCACGAAAGGCGCGAACTGGCATGGGATGGTGAACCGCACCAGTGGCCACGCCAGCTTGCCCACTTCTCTGCACAGCTTGCGCAGGTCAAAGGGCCGCTTCTCCAGATGCAGACTGGGGGATAACGTGGTGGAGGAAAGTACAAGAGGGATGACGGAAGGTGGGGAGGTTGTTGAATAGATTCAGAACGGTGCGGACTGGCAGGGGAGCACCTCTCCTCTCCTCCTCCTGTCGGCTGAAATCGAGCACGTCAGTGATGAGCGAAGTGAGCAGCGTCGCACTGTGCAGCACAGTCGCCACTATTGGTGCTGAAGCCAACAGGACAGCAGCAGCACCTAAAACCCCCCTCCCCCACCCCCCTCTCCCACCTCCCTCTCACCTCTCCTCCTGTCGGCTGAAATCGAGCACGTCAGTGATGAGCGAGGTGAGCAGGGACGCACTGCGCAGCACAGAACGGCACAGACAGACGTCTACAGATATCCTCACCTCCCCCACCCTCTCCCACCTCCCTCTCACCTCTCCTCCTGTCGGCTGAAGTCGAGCACGTCAGTGATGAGCGAAGTGAGCAGGGAGGCACTGCGCAGCACAGTCGCCACCATGGGTGCTTGCTCCGGTGTCAGGTCTTCCTCCTGGTGGTTGAAAGGGGGGGTGGGGAGGGTGGATAGTCGAGTGGGTGCGGGTGTCACTACAATGATATGAGCAGCGACGCACTACGCAGCACAGTCGCCACCATGGGTGCTTGCTCCGGTGTCAGGTCCTCCTCCTGGGGGGATGGAGTGCAGAGCAGGTTTGAAACGGTGAATGCTGAGTCGACTCAGAAGGAACAGTCACCACTATCGGCGCACATCATGCCCATGTCACTGTCAGCAAGCTGAATGTGCTCAAAATGAGTGATGGAGGGCAGGGAGTGCGCATCCCATGGTTGATGGTTCATCAATGCGCTGACTACAAGTGGTGTCAACAGCACAACATGCAGCCTGCCAACACAGTGGGCTGACATTAAGAATGGAGGCGAGAGCAGAGATGGAGTGTAGGGGTGTGCGCATCTCATGCTTCATCACTGCAAGAAAGTCGTTCCTCTGCCACCTCTGCTCTCTGCCCTCTGGCTTCAATGGCCTCAACAGCAGGCGCAGTGTTCAGCAGCTCACATTAAGAATGGATGCGAGAGCAGTGATGGAGTGCAGAGGCGTGTGCATCTCATGGTTCATCACTGCCAACCATATTCCCTACCTTTGCTTTCGTGCTCTTGTGCTGACTTCCGGTGTTGTTAAGTGCGCAGGTAGAAAGCTCGTACACACTGCTGCAACACTCACATTGAGAATGGAAGCGAGAGCAGTGATGGAGTGGAGCGGAGTCCGCATCTCATGATTCATCACAGCCAGGAAGTCGTTCCTCGCCATCACTGCCACCTCTGCTCTCTGCCGCGCTGCCTGCAGCGTTCGGTTCTTCTCCTCCAGCTCGTCCCTCCGCCTCTGGTGGAGGGAAGCGAGGTAGAGGAGAGGGACGACAAGGGTGGGAAGAGGAGGAATGAGATTTTGAGACCTCTGGTTTATGCTCGCCATCACTGCCACCTCAGCTCGCCATCACTGCCACCTCTGCTCGCCATCACTGCCACCTCTGCTCGCCATCACTGCCACCTCTGCTCGCCATCACTGCCACCTCTGCTCGCCATCACTGCCACCTCTGCTCGCCATCACTGCCACCTCTGCTCGCAGCCGTGCTGCCTGCAAAGTTCGGTTCTTCTCCAACTCGTCCCTTCGACACGCTTTGTGGGGAAAAAGAAGAGGGAGAGAAGCAAGTGCAGTCGGGTTGCTCTTTGCACTTCCCACCTGCGTCTTCCCTGCCTGTGTTTTGAGTCGACTAAGAAAACGCTGCACACATCATCCACCTCAACCCCCAACTCTTGAGTCGACTCAAAAGTCGTCTGCCCGTGTTTCCATTCGACTCAAAAGTCGCTTGCCCGTGTTTTGAGTCGACTCAAAAGTCGCCTACCCGTGTTTTGAGTCGACTAAAAAAACGCTGCACACGTCATCCACCTCAACCCCCAACTCCCAACTCGTCTCCCAACTCGCCCCACAGTCACGCCGCACTAAGTCTGAAACCCAAACGATCTCCCATCACCCCTCACCTGCGTCTCCTCCAGCACGGCAGCGTGGGAGAGGGCCACTGCCACCTGGTCTGCTACCACCTCCACCATCTCCACCTCGTGCGCCTTCCACTGCCTGCAATGGAGGGCAAAGGGAGAGAGGAAGGACGTGAAGGAGAGGGGACAGAGAAGATGAGATCACAGGACATCTCCACGGCCACCTGATCTGCTACCACCTCCACCATCTCCACCTCGTGCGCCTTCCACTGCCTGCAATGGAGGGCAAAGGGAGAGAGGAAGGACGTGAAGGAGAGGGGACAGAGAAGATGAGATCACAGGACATCTCCACGGCCACCTGATCTGCTACCACTCCACCATCTCCACCTCGTGCGCCTTCCACTGCCTGGTGGGGGAGAAGGAGTGGGGACGGGAGAGGAGAGCGGAAGTGAGGGGAGACAAAAGTAGTATTGAGCCGCCTCCAGAGCCACCTGGACTGCCACCACCTCCACCATCTCCACCTCGTGCGCCTTCCACTGCCTGACGAGGAAGAAGCAAGAGAAAGGTGAGGCGAGAAGGAGTGAAGAGGGTACAAAAAAAATGGTTGTGCAACGCCTAAAAAAAATGGTTGTGCAACGCCTAAAAAACCACCTGGTCTGCCTGCAACTTGTTGAGTCTACTCAAAACATCCACCATCCTCACCTCCTCCTTCTCACCTTCTGGCATCCCCATGCAACACGAGCACCATGAGTCCATATACCGGCACCACCCCCCCCACCCTCTCCTCTCCTGCCCCGCCACTCCCACCCTCTCTTCCTCCTGCTGAATTACCACCATCAGCACCACCACTCCCAAGAAAAGGACTGCTTTCTCCCCCACTCGCATTCACATCCTCACCAGCTGCCTCAACCCCACCCGCACCCCCAGACGCCCCTGCTGCTGCCGCCACCGCCACCGCTGCTGCAGCAGCGGCATCGGCAGCCGCAGCAGCATCGGCCATAGCTTCGAGGGGCAGGATGGGCAGGCGCACAGCAGCAAGGGAGGTGCTGTGGGCGGTACGGGAGGCGGAGGCGCGGCCGATGAAGGAGGAGGGGGAGATGCGGAGGGCGCGGGGCGTGTGGATGAGGGACTGCACTGTGGGGTCGGAGAGAGGGACGAGCACCGGCGCTTGCACTAGCCGCCTCTCCAACTCGTGAGTTAGCTCCAAACAGGAGCCGGCTGATGGGAGAGAGGAGGGGAAGGGGGAGGAGAGAGGGGAGTTGAAAGAGGATTCGAAAATAGAGTGTTACAATCAGCAAAGTCGAAACACATACTGTCACCTCTAGTAGCAGCATCCACAGTCATCATCCACAATCTACACAGATTCCACGTAGTACCACCACCCACAGGCGTCACTCACAGGGGTGCGGCATCCAGATGGTGCAGTTTTCGAGCATGAGAGCCTGGGCGAGCTCCACGAGGGTGGTGTTGAGGATGGTGTGTCGGTCCAGAGACTGGCGGATCTCGTATGTCAGCATGCGCACGTGCCGCCCCACCTCCTCCTTGCGCCTCATCACGTCCATTTCTCTATCCAGCTGCGCCGCTTTATGCTGCAGGAAGAGCTCTCGGACCTGCAGGCAGGCAGGGAATGGGGAATGTGTGGGGGGCCGGGGGAATGGATATCCCCTAGGCATGCGCACGTGCCGCCCCACCTCCTCCTTGCACCTCATTACGTCCATCTCTCTGTCTAGCTGCGCCGCTTTATGCTGCAGGAACAACTCGCGGACCTGGCACGCATTACAGGGAATGCACGGCACGGAGGACGGGGGTTGTGAGGCATGGCACCTTAAGCACCGCACAGCAAACCTTGAAATCAGACCACACCTTGACGTTGAGCAGAGTGGGGATGATGGTGACGAGCAGAAAAACCGTGGTACAGGATACAGCCGCATAGAATTGCAGAGCACCGCACAGCAAACCTTGAAATCAGACCCCACCTTGACATTGAGCAGAGCGGGGATGATGGTGACGAGCAGAAAAACCGTGGTACAGGATACAGCCGCATAGAATTGCAGAGCACCGCACAGCAAACCTTGAAATCAGACCCCACCTTGACATTGAGCAGAACGGGAATGATGGTGACGAGCAGGAAGGCCGTGGCACAGGAGACAGCCGCACAGAGCACTTTGAGTACCGTCTGTAGCACTGCCACGGCGCTGGGGTGGGGGCCGTACGTCCACATGTTGACCAAATGGGTCAGACCTGGGAGGGGAGGGGAGAGAGAAGGGAGAGAGCGAGGGGGAAGAGAGGGGGGAGAGAAGGTTGAGACAGCTGCACAGAGCACTTTGAGCACCGTCTGTAGCACTGCCACCGCGCTGGGATGGGGGCCGTACGTCCACATGTTGACTAGGGGGGTCAGACCTGGGAGGGGAAAGGGGGGTGGAGGGAGGAGAGAGGCAAACGAGTAGCAGAGAGAACGATGAAGCTGGCTCTCCACACTATCGTTCTTGAAGCTGTGACAAGTGAACATTCCCAAGAGAGGGGATGCAAAAAGGGAGCAAGGGGCCCCGCAGAGCACGATGAAGAGGCCGAACTGTAGCAGCACCCAGCGGTTCAAGTGACCAAGGGACGCTGGCAAGAGAACATCCCAAAGAGTGGGGTGCAGTGCAGAGGATACCCACCGCGCAGAGCCACGGATGGGGTGTTTGCAAGGAGGCTCAGCGCAGAGCAACGGATGGGGTGTGTGCAAGGAGACTCACCGCAGAGCACGATGAAGAGGCCGAACTGCAGCAGCACCCAGCGATGGGGCAAGACCTTGGCTCGCAGGAAGAAGTAGACGAGCTCGAGCGGAATGGAGAAGTAGGCCAGGGCTATGAGGAAGTCGCTGGGGGAGAGAGTGGTGGGCAGGGGAGGGGGGGGGGGATGCACACAGGATGCATTAGGTGGGGGAGAGAGGAAAGGTAGTGGTGGGGGAGAGAGGAGAGGTAGCGGTGGGGGGGAGAGGAGAGGTAGCGGTGGGGGAGAGAGGAAAGGTAGCGGTGGGGGAGAGAGGAAAGGTAGCGGTGGGGGAGAGAGGAGAGGGAGCGGTGGGGGAGAGATGAGAGGTAGCGGTGGGGGAGAGAGGAGAGGTAGCGGTGGGGGAGAGAGGAGAGGTAGCGGTGGGGGAGAGAGGAGAGGTAGCGGTGGGGGAGAGAGGAGAGGTAGCGGTGGGGGAGAGAGGAGAGGTAGCGGTGGGGGAGAGGGGAGAGGTAGCGGTGGGGGAGAGGGGAGAGGTAGCGGTGGGGGAGAGAGGAGAGGTAGCGGTGGGGGAGAGAGGAGAGGTAGCGGTGGGGGAGAGAGGAGAGGTAGCGGTGGGGGAGAGAGGAGAGGTAGCGGTGGGGGAGAGAGGAGAGGTAGCGATGGGGGAGAGAGGAGAGGTAGCGGTGGGGGAGAGAGGAGAGGTAGCGGTGGGGGAGAGAGGAGAGGTAGAGGTGGGGGAGAGAGGAGAGGTAGCGGTGGGGGAAGAGAGGAGAGGTAGCGGTGTGGGAGAGAGGAAAGGTAGCGGTGGGGGAGAGAGGAGAGGTAGCGGTGGGGGAGAGAGGAGAGGAAGCGGTGGGGGAGAGAGGAGAGGTAGCGGTGGGGGAGAGAGGAGAGGTAGCGGTGGGGGAGAGAGGAGAGGTAGCGGTGGGGGAGAGAGGAGAGGAAGCGGTGGGGGAGAGAGGAGAGGTAGCGGTGGGGGAGAGAGGAGAGGTAGCGGTGGGGGAGAGAGGAGAGGTAGCGGTGGGGGAGAGAGGAGAGGTAGCGGTGGGGGAGAGAGGAGAGGTAGCGGTGGGGGAGAGAGGAGAGGTAGCGGTGGGGGAGAGAGGAGAGGTAGTGGTGGGGGAGAGAGGAGAGGTAGCGGTGGGGGATTGAGAGGAAGACCTTGGCACGCAGAAAGAAGTAGAGGAGCGGAAGAGGGATGGAGAAGAAGGGTGGATGGGACACTCGGGATTGAGGGACGTCGCTAGGGAGTGGTGGGCAGGGCAGGAGGCGGGGAACAAGGGCTAGGAAGGAAGTCGTTCCCTGCCCCACCCTCTCTTCTTCACCCCCCCTTCTCACCTGGTCACCTAAAAGCGTGCAATAACTCCTCTCTCTCATCCCCCACTCCCTCTCCCACCCGTCTCGTCTCCCCCTTCTCTCCCCCCACCCCTCCCCCCTGCTCCCTCTCTCCCCCCCTCTTCTCACTCCCCAACCTCCGCACCTGGCGAGCTTGCATGCTAAACCCCCTCTATTCCCCTCCCCCCCAGCCCCTTCACCCCCCACCCCCCCCACCCCGGTCCCCCTCCCCCTCCCCCCCCCCCCCCCCACCTGGCGAGCTGGCAGCGCGCGATACCCTCGTCCAGCACGCCATGCTCGTCTGCTGCACGCCCCATGCACTCGTCCCCCTACTGCACCTTTCCCCCTCCCCCAATCCCCCCCCCTTTCCCCCCCGCGCACCTGGCGAGCTGGCAGCGCGCGATGCCCTCGTCCAGCACGCCATGCTCGTCCTCGCATTGGCAAAGGAAGGGGAAGATGCGCGGCATGGGGTGCAGCCTGAGGAAAAGGGGGGGAAGGGGCACGCGGGGTGACGTGGCACGCGGACGTGAAATGGGGAGAAGGCAAACCGGAGAGGAGGGAGCATGACAGGAAAAACGCATGAATCACCTCACCGCATCCGAATTCCGGATCCAGTAAAGCTTCCCTTGATTCATACGATATCCCCATTCATTCATTCATTTATTTATTCAGGTCCCCCCACACCTCACTCACCCCATGTCTCCGCCACTCGCGTGCAGCGCGGTGGCGCACGCCGCCAGCACAGACGCCAGCGCCGCCACTGCCGTTCCGCCAACCATCCAACTCCGCGCCATGGCGCAGAGACGGGGGAGACGGGGAGAGACCGAGTGCGCGCGAAGCGAACCAGCGCAAATCGGCGGAACGGTGCGGAACGGCGCGAATGGGGGAAGGGGGCGAGGCGCGGAAAGACGAGGCGGGAGGCGCGGAAAGTGGAAGCAACCACGAAGATACGCGGCTCAAGGAATTCGGCGGGCGAAAATGGACTATCGCCGAGGCGCCTTGTGCTAAGCCCTCCTAGCAGCCCTCGGGACAGCAAACTTTCCTACTAGTACGCGTTATAGCCTCACGCCCACGCGACTCCAGGAAGCGCATCGCGAGAGCAGTTCACAGCCCAGCGACAGAGACTGCAACGCCTGCATCAAACCTGCAATAAATGTCTATACACAACGACTCTGATCTGCTTTCCAGCCACAACGGCTGTAAAGTCGCTCCGCCTCACCTCGCCTCGCCTCGCTTCACTTAGGCCTAGGTCTCGGTCTCGGTCTCGGTCCTGTGTCCTACACTCGCAATGACACTTGACGGCTAGCCGATCTACGTAGTTCTGCACACGACGAGTCGATGGCACACTACAGTCGCACACGAACGACTAATTCTCCCGTCCCAAGTGATGACGCTGATGCCTTCGACCCATCTGAGACTGAGATCGAGCCTGAGCACCTTGCCTCGTCAGCACGCATTCGTGACGTTGATCACACGCCACCGTACGACTCCGCTCGTGCAATCAGCGTCGTCGTGACAGATGAAAGCTCAGAGACTCTTCGGTCTTCACCAACTATGCTTCAAATAAGCTCTTGCAAACGGGACGGGATGTGTCTGTGCTGGCATTCTAACTGACCTATCCTAAATTCTGTTCTGCCTGCCAGCCCTCGCCGCTGCAGCACTAAATTCTTAGGAATCGGGGTAAGGACGTCCTCGCCTCATGTGACAAGGATGCACGAGGTAACGCAGTAGGCAAGACGGAGAAATATTGTACTGTACGTACAAAAATAAGTGGCAGCAGCTAGTCGGCGGCGCGCGTACATGTAGAGCTGTACGATTGGCGGGCAATCTAGAAACAGTTGTTGATCAGCGTGCCGAAATTGCAACACGGGGGGTGTTACATTTGTGTCGGGCAGCTTGGACAAACTGTGGCAGCTTCAGAAATTTGTGTTGTCGCCCGCGGTGAAAAAACAATGGTAACCCGTGTTTTTTGCCGCCGCCCAAACTCTGCTGCACATAGCAATCTTGCATTGCGTGTTGATTGGTTGGCACTTGCATTCTGGCAGGCAGCCAAGCTGTAACGGAGCCAAACTACACTAGAGCCCTTCATTTAGAGCACTGCCCGTACAAACGTTAGCATCATAACGGGAGGATATACCTCAGCCGACGAAAAATGCCGCCCAATTTCGAGGTTGCGATAGGACAACGGCCCTCCTCGGGATTGACGAACTCCCGACGACTCCGAGTGGCAAACTGGGGCGAAATGGCAGACCTCTGGGCCCCTCGACGCCTCGGGACTGTCGACGATCTGACGACCTCGGTTTCGCTGAGAGAAACCCGGAAAGGACATCTCAGCGGACAAAAACTCACAGCACGACATGTCGAGCCGCGATTTCAGCGCGGGAACTCGACTGCGCGCCCAAATTTGTCGGTGGCCGATCCACGCGGCGAAGATCTATCCGTAAAAAAATGTTACAGTTGTCTGCCATCGCGAGCTGCTCGCCATGTCGGTGTCGACTACGGATCCAACGGCCTAATCCGAGCCACGCGGCACCATCGGTTGGTGCCTCAACACTGTCTAGGTTAAAGGAAAGTCGGCGCCGACCACGAGGGGCTCACGGCGGGCTTGCCATTGAAGCCCTTAGGCCATGGAAGTCGGCATGTCGGCGTTTCTGCGTAGAGGCACCAATGACGGGCCCACGCCACGTAACGCACGCACATCCCACCGTGGACGTGCCCAGGCTTACGCCACTTGAGTGCAGCGCGGTGACCCATTAGCCATGCATGGCTCGTGGCACGTCGGACACTGCGCCGCCGCACGAGAACGCATGCATAGCGGCACAAGCATAGGGTGCTTGAAGCGCGGCAAAATCGGGAGTCGCTCACGACCATACCCCTCCATGACCTTGCGCTGGTGCTCATTCCATTGTGCGTTCCTGCGTTCCTTCCTGCTCTCTCTTGCACTTAGAATTTTCCGTTCCCTAGCTATCTTCGCGAGTGTGGGTTACTCGTGCGCCGACCAATCGACCACGTCGGCACCGGTAGCGTCTACCTGGCATACATTACACAGGTCGGTGTTTAGGTAACCGAACGGTCAGAACGCGTCGACGTCGACGTCGGATGTTTTAGGGCAGCATCTCGGCATAGTATCAACAGCTCTACCGACCAAGCAAGACGGGACGAAAGAAAATAACTAGGTCGGCGACGCATGGCCAGAGCACGGCCTAGAGCCCAACAGCCGCAACCCATCCCACCCCCTGCCGACTCTGTAGACGCCGACATCAAAGCGCAGCTGGAACGCCTCGAGCTTGCCACTGAGTTAGAAGCACTTGAGAGAGAATCCGACGGAGACGACTGAGCAACTCATTGGGTGTACACCGCACCCGCGACTTAGTACCGTCTCTGGTGGTCCATCCCTTACCTCGAACACGATCGACGGTATAGCAAACTACGAGTGGTCTCATGGCCGACGTCGACATGTCCGACGTTGGTCCCCCAACCGACCACATTCAGACCTCTACCCCCGAAGAGACGCTCAAGTTACTCTACGATCTTGACGCACTGACACAGATTCCAGAAGGGGAGTTCACCAAGGACATTCCCCCACCGCCTATAGGGGAGTTTACCAAGCCAGCTAGTAAATCGACATCGACGCAAGATGGGCAGCTTGGACCTTCGTCGGTACCGGGCGACTCAGGAAACCAGGTTGATGACGAGGAGGAGGAGGAGGAGGAGGAGGAGGAGGAGGAGGAGGAGAGCGACGACGAATACGACGAGCGTCCTCCGCGTAGCACGAATCCGCGCACCTTGGAAGAACGCCTCCGGCGGGAACTTGAATACATAGATGACATGCTCGAACAGGACGAGGACGAGGACGAGCAGAACATGGCGGTGCCATGCAAACAGTGGAGAGCAGCAGACTTCGTCGAGGACGACATGGTTTACGCAAGCATCGACGTGCTGGTCATAGACGCCCTACGCCACATGCAAACCGTGGAGAAGAATAGCACGCTGAGGCTGTACACCTCGTTCATCTACCACTACAAGAGGTGGGCGGCGAAAATGCTGACGCAAATATGCGACAAGCTTCCCCAGGAGCACAGGCGTAGGCACGTCGATGAGATCGGCCACTACATCCGGGACAACAAGAAGAAGAATTGGGACAAAGTGGCCGAGGTCCCCCGGGAGTACATCTGGCTGCATGGCCCTAGGGTAATCGAAACTTGGCTGCGTGCCTACGTGAATTTCATGATACGGGAGTGTAAGCTCGATGCCAAGTCCATCGAGGAGGGGAACAATGCCTCGCGAACCCAGCCTGTGCAATGTACAACGGTGCACATGCTCCTCGGGCGCATAAAAGCATGCCAGATGGCGGCGAGAGTGGAGGCGACGCTCTACCGGGAGAAGGAGCTGAGCATCATGCGGGAGATCTCGGTGGTCAGATCGGAGGTGCGGTTCATGGTCCGCACCAAGAACGAGAGGGACGTCAAGTAAGTTTGTCGACACCGCATACCTCTGTCCACGTCACTCTGAAGTCGACGCCGTCAAACTAAAAATACGTTGTGGCTTTGTGGGCAGGAATTGTGCCGACCGGCGTCGCGGCACCATCGGCGATACCTACACCGCCGAACAGTTCCGCCAGATCATGATGAAGGTGCTGCCGACATGGGCGGCGTCGGCGTGGAACCCGCGGGCAACCGCTCCTTCGCAGACGCTGTGGCGATTTCTACTCACCAAGGCGCTCACGCCACTCTCCCACCACACTCTCCTGCGAGGCGCCAACATCCGCGAGATCACGCTCCCCGACATCTTCTTGTACCGACTGGCTAGCACCTCGTCGGTGAACCCGGAGAACCAGCCGGTCGTCATGGTGATCGCCGCGCGGAACTCGAAGACCTCCAAGGATGCCCGTCTTCAGCAGAGCTACGCGGCGCGACACTTGGAAGCGGAGTTGTGCGCCGTCGGCGAGACCGGCCTATGGTTGCACTTCATCCTCGACCAGATCGGTCAGTTCAACGGCGTCGACTTCCTTCCGCCGCTTGACACCACCGAACGCGAGCGCTGGTACAAGAAGCACCTCTTATTCGCCCGCAACGACAAGGAGCAAAAAGAGCTCTCCGCCGCCAGCCACCAACGTTGGACGCGGCAAATGTGGACGACCAACAAGGTGTTCTGCAAGCGGAACGTGCACGCCTCTCGCGCCGGATGTGCGCAGGAGCTAGCCATTGAAGGGACGCCTCGCGCCGAGATCGCCGAGCTGGGTCACTGGGCACTCGACAAGATGACGCGTGCTTACATCACAGCCATTCCCGTTGGGGTGGTGATGAGGAAGGCCGGCTACTCGGGTTGCAAGCAAGACTACTTCTTGGGTCGCAGCAGGGTCGAGCCCTCCGACAAACAATTGGACATCATCGCCGAGCACATCTTCCCCGGCGTGGATGCTCTGCTGCGCGATGTATATTAGTAGACGCCGACAATGTCCTTACGTCGCCATTGCTTCGTTGGCTGCCCAACGCCTTACTAACCCACATCACGTGCCGATGTGCAGGCTGAAACGCGAGCTGCCAAAGGGAGCGACGCCGACAAAGCCGCCGTGCACTTCTGGCGTACCCTCCAGATGATGCGCCGCATCGTCGCCGAGGACCTCGCGGTGAAGCTCGTCCGCACCCCTTGGCACCCGTACGTCCAAGGTTCGAAGCTCTGCCGGATTGCCCTCTTTCAGCACTGGGCGAAAAGGGTCGAGAAGATCGACACCGAAACGATCAACAAACGCCGGGACCCAACCCTCATTCAGCCAGAGGTAAACCGTCGCTAACATCGGCGTCGATCTGTTACGGGTGTATTCTAAACTATTTTCGCCTTTCCGCCTTGTGCTGCAGGAAATCTCCGTTCGCTTGGACACCAAATACCATAACATGTCCCTCAAGGAGACGCTGAAGTACGAGAGGGAGCGCTCCGCGATCGAGAAGATTGACCTTCAGGAGGAACTCGAGAAGCGCGACGATACCATCGCGACGCTGACCGCCGAGATAACCCGTCTCACTGAGGCACTCTGTGTGTTAGACGCACAGAGGATGCCGGCGACGCCGCCGTCGGGGAACGAGCAGACGCCGAGCGAGAGTGGCTCCGCGGATTCGGCCAGTACGGGGGCCAGAAACAAGAAACAGTTTGAGAAACCCCCACAGACGCTCGACGAGGCTCGTTACGAGCTCAACGTGGTGCAACCTTGGCGGGAGTCAAAGACCGTGAGGGACGCTTGGCGCCTCTGGAACTCCGCCACCGCCGATGACACCCGTCGTCTTTGCGACAGGGTCGCCGAGCCGGGATTCGTCGACCGCCACACCCTCCTCAAAGGCGCGACGCAGGGTGCACACGACATGAAGGTGCGCCGCATGCTGAAGGCCATGGATGCAGTGCGCCTTCTTCGCTCGAGCGACGGCGATGCCGACACCGAAGCCGTCGTCGCTGCCCTGAACAAGATCGCAGCGCTGGGCATCGGGACCTTCTGCGATGCCTTCACGGTGCTCAAACCGGGAACCGCACCGACGAAGTCCAAGGAGCCCGGCATGGGCGTCAAGGGGCTGGGCCCCAAGTCGGTCTCGAAGCTTCGTCTCGCCTGTGCGCTGGTGGCAGTCAACTTGAAGCCGACCGCTTGAGTCGCCGTCCTGTTTCCAGACACCTGGGAGGAGCAGATGCCGAAGACCGTGGCCGACATGGCCAAGCAGACCGCACCTGTGCTGCGTCCTCCGACGAAGCGCAAGAAGGCGGCATGAATACCTTTGGAGCATATGCGTGTGCGTAGTTTGATGATGCTGTAATTGTGGTCGATTTTACCAAACCATGATGCTTATATTGTTCATGAAGTTGGTAAACGATGGTCATACAACAATGCCCATGCGAACCTAGATGATCCAACAATGGTAACTGCAGTCGGTCGCCGACCAACAAACACCCCGAAAATACTTGCAGACAGCCAAACCCTCAATGTCGACAAACATCCAACGACGCCGACGTATTTTCGGACTCCAACATATGCGCCGACGTATTTTGAGTGTGCAATTCAGAGGGTAGCGATCAGGTCGACATCTCCGACGAGGGTTCTAGTTTCATGCACTACCAAAAAGTTACATGCACTACCACATAAGCAAACACAAACAAAAATTTACAAGCACTAAAAGAACTACGCAATTGGCGCCGGCCAGACCAAACTGTTATACACCCTAGCAATCAGACCACCTCGCGCTCCCTCCGCGCGCCGACTACGCCGCCGTGCTGTCCTTGCCCTTCCTGCCCTTCTTCCCCTTCTTCCCCGTGCTGTCCTTGCCCTGCTTGCCTCTATGCCCCTTCCTCCCCCTGTGTTCAATGTCGTACTCCATCTGCACGTCACACGGCACCACGATGCCGATCTTTTCTAGTTTCGGCCCGGCGACGGGGCACATTCCCCAGAACGCCAATGTCTCCACCGTTGCTCTAGCAATCACGTCGGCTCCAACTTCATGATCCACCCCCAGGTAGACCCGGTGCAGAGCGAGACTCTGCAGCACCGGCGCGATGTTGTGCGCAACCTCCCCGAGGGGTTGCTCCCGGTCGATCTTGGCCTCCAGCACCGCCTGCATGACCTCCTTGAAGACACCGGCGGTCTTCTCGCTCGCACCGACCACCATCGCCGCCGCCTTCCCTTCGCCCACAGCATCGACCACCTGGGCGTCGTCGTTCTCGACTAAGCACCACACGGCGCAAGCGGAGGCCGATAACGCCTGTGCCGCCATCGCCATCTTCTCATCAGTGTCTCCCTCCTTCCTTGCCGCGCTCACAGCGACCTTCCCATACGCAGCGCACATGGACACGTGACCTATCATGGCCGACATCATAGCATCCGACTTCTCCTTGCCTTCCTTTGTGACGGCATCGACGGGGAACCAGATCGCCGGCAAGAGCGCGTCGTGGTGCGCATCGCCTGAGCTCTTGTACGCTTGACACTGGCCGAGAATGTCATCGAACCTGTCACACAATCACATGAAACAGGGCGACCATTAGTGATTCCGACATCGTCATCAACACTCGGCCGAAAGGGTATCCGACTTACCGTGTTTTTGGAAGGTACGCGCCCCGTGCCCATATCACCGTCCACATCCCTGTCGGCAAATTCTTGACCTCCTCCCACACCTTCCTCCACTTCTCCAACTCGGTTTCCTCCAAGCCGGTGAGCTCGGCCATGAGGACCTTGCTGACGTAACCGTCATAGATGATGTACGCAATCGAGTGCAGGTACGCCAGCTCCATCTTCTCGCGCGACTTGCCGATGTATCGATTAGCGCCGAGCACCTTAATCTCGCCCACCCACCCAAGACCGTCGCCCGAGTTGTCGTGGCGGATGCCATGACCCTTCCGTCCTTTCTCCTTCTCCTCTGCCTTCTCCTTCTCCTTCTCCTTCTCCTTCTCCTTCTCCTCCTTCTCCTTCTCCTCCGCCTTCTCCTTCCCTTTATCCATCGACTTCTCCTTCGCCTTATCCCTCCCTGTCTCGGCCGACATCGCCCGTGTTTTCCTCTGAGAGCTCGCCCTCCCTTTCCCTGTGTCGGCCTTCCCCTTCCGTTTCGACTCTCCCTCGCCGACAGCATCAGTGGTCGTCTTTGGCTCCGCTGAACCAGCGGGGGGACTTGCCGAGGGCTCCACATGCGCCGTGTCCGAGATGGCCAGAGCAACGGGGTGCCCGGGGCGTTTTACCGATTCCAACAGGTTCTGGATGGCAGCGATGTCGGCGTCGTTGTGGCCTATCGACGCCTGTGCATGGTCAACGGCTCCGCCGCCGATGGCTAGCGCTGCCCTCACGCCCTTCTCCGCCGCCTCGTTTACCGACGTCGGCGTCGTGCTTGAGCCGGCTTCTGGCCGGGTCTGTGTGTAAGAATGTGAACGAATGAATGATTGAACTAGGAAGCAGGTGGGCACAAGTAGGAAACCTAAAAGTGTTGTACCCTATAAGGACTACCCCAGTATAGCCTAAACAGACTATAGCATATAAGTTTGACACACCCCCATAGGCAAAGTGGGGGAGAACAAGAGGTCACAAGACCAGTCGAGAAAGACAAAGCAAGCTCAGGGTGGATCATAAAGTCACCACGCAGTCTGAGCACAAGCAAACGGCCACAAGGCCAGTCCACATGCAGAGTTATATAAAGGAGAGCAAACAATACAGTGAATACAACCTAGCAAGTGTAAGCATGCAGATATATGTATAAAGAGTACAGTACAGGCAGAGTCAAGAAGTAAGCAAGTAAGGCACAGTAGGTACAAGACCTAACACAGTACAGAAACGCTGATGATCACAAGGCTGAAGTGCCTTGGTGAAAACATCAGCAGTGTTGGCCTGAGAGGCCACGTAAGCAAGACAAAGCTGGCCACGCTGCTGCAACTCTCGAGCAAGGAAGTAGCGCAGAGCAATATGTTTCGTTCAGTGCTCCAGTCTGTGCTCGTGACACAAGGCAAGCATTGCCTTGTTGTCGACGTACAGAACTGGAGGAGAACGAGGCGCCTCTCCCAAGTCGTTCAGCAGGTAGGTCAGCCAGCGTAGCTCCTGTGCAGCCATGCCCCCAGCGTAGATCTCAGCCTCACAACTGGAGCTGAGAACAGAAGAAGAGCGGGTAGACCGCCAAGAGACAGAACCGGAGCCAAGACTGAAGGTGTAACCCTGTGACGACCGCTGCGTAGCCAAGTCGTCAACCTAGGAGGCGTCAGCGTGACAAGTGAGGACAAATCGAGCCCGTCCTCCAAGCACGAGCCCCATGCCCGATGTACTGCACAAGTATCGCAACACCCTCTTCGCAGCATCCCAGTGCACCTTTCGGTACCTGCCGGGAGCCACGTGGCGAGCCAGAAGGCTGAGAGGGTATGCGAGGTCAGGTCGTGTGCAAGTCATCAGGTACATGAGGCAGCCCACAAGCTCTGGAGACGGGCCACTCGGCTCTACGGACTCGTCCGAAGGTGGAGCTGAGAGCGAGTGACCGGTAGGCAGAGGAGTGGACTGTGGCGAGGAGTGCGTGAAGCCGAAGCGCTGAAGGACCTGCTGCACCATGTGTGACTGAGTCAAGGTAATGGTGCGTTGTGCTCGGTCCCGGGTGATCCGCAAGCCAAGATAGCTTGTGAGCTCACCCAGGTCTGTGCACGTGTGTCTCTTCTGCAGCTCGGACTTCACGTGGGCGAGTGCCTCAATGTCAGCAGTAGCAAAGACGAGGTCGTCTACGTACACGAGAACGTAGAACGGCGGCAGAGTGGTGTCAGTGCGTAAAAACAGAGAAGGGTCAGCAGTGGAAGGAGTAAAACCAAGAGCAGCAAGAGTCCTCCTCAGTGTGTCGTGCCACTCACGGGGTGCCTGGCGGAGACCGTAGACTGGCCGCCGGAGGCTCCACTGGGTACCAGCAGGAAACGACCCAGTGAAGCCAGGTGGGCGGCGCAGCCAGATCTCCTCGTGCAGGCTGCCCTGTAGGAAGGCTGTGCTGAAGTCAAGCGAGTGGAGCTCGTAGTCACGCTGAGCGGCAACGTGCAGCAGTACCCGAAGAGTGGTCATCTTCGGGGTAGGGGAGAAGGTCTGGAAGAAGTCAACTCCCTGTCGCTGACTGAAGCCACGTGCAACGTAACGCGCCTTGAAGACAGGCGGAGAACCCGGCGGCCGCTTCACCCTGAAGATCCACATGCCACTGACGATGTTCGCCCCAGGCGGGGGAACCTCGTCGACGTAGGTGCCTGTGGACTTCCAGGAAGCCATCTCGGCGTCCATGGCTGCCAGCCACTGAGAGGAGTAGGGACCCTCTATCGCCTCTGCGTAAGAGCGCGGGGTCGGGATGTCTGGTGCATCCGGGTCTCCCTCAGGGGCAAGCAGCATGGACACGAGAGGAGGTACAGCAGCGGCAAAGCACTCAAACTCCTCCTGTCTGTCCTCAAGAACGTCCGTGCCAAGAGCACACTCACCCCCGACGGACGGAGGACAGACAGACGCAGACGCAGACTCAGCAACAAGACTAGTGGCGAAGTCTAGGCGACAGGCTGCAGCAAAGTCAACAAGCTCAGCAACGAGAGCAGACGCAGCAGTGGACTCAAACAAAGGGTCAGTGACAGCAGTGGCCAGAAAGCGGGTGACAGTAGGACTAGCAGCACGAAGGGAGTCAGACTCCGGGTCCGGACCGTCAGGAAGGGAGGACGCAGGAGGAGACGGCAGAGGGACACGCTGTGGAGCAGTGGAAGGACACAGAGTCATAGAGTGAGTGCCAGGGACAGGAGGAGGACGCGGACGCGAAACACGACGACCGGCACGAACAGTGCGGACAGGCGACTCAGAACGAGACTCGGGTGACGCAGGACGAGACTCAGGCGACACAGGACGCGACTCAGGCTCACGACGCTCCGTAAGACCTCTAGTCGGTCCAGAGTAAGGTGAAGGAACAGGTAGTGGAGAGGTCGGCTGTAACTGCGACTGTGACTGGACAGGCGGTGGACTCAGTAAAGGAGGAGCAGGACCAGGAGAAGGCGGGAGACCAAGAACCTGCTGAAGGAGCGGAACGTAGTACGGCCGCGGCCGCGCAGCGCCTCCAGAAACAGCAGAGACAGCACCAATACCCTCAGCTCCAGGGTCTCGAGGAACAGCTCCCGCAACACCACCAGCTCCAGTACCTGTAGCGCCACCGCGTGCAACACCACCAGCTCCCGCAGCTCCAGTACCTCCAGTACGAGCACCTCCAGGACCAGTGGCTCCAGCAGCTCCAGCACCAGCAGCACCTCCAGCAGCACCAGCATCAGCAGCACCTCCAGCACCAGCAGCACCTCCAGCAGCTCCAGCAGCGCCAGCACCAGCAGCACGAGTACCTGCAGCGCCAGTAGGGCAGTGGCCGCGACAGGGGGTGGCTGCAGGGCAGTGGCCGCGACAGTGCGGCTGCTGGGCAGAGGCCGCGACAGGCGGCAAACAGGCCGCGACGAGCGGCAGAGGGGGCCGCTGCGGGCGGCAGAGGGGCCGCAACGGGCGGCAAAGGGGGGCCGCGACGAGCGGCAAAGGGGGGGGGGGGGGGGGGGGGGGGGCGCGACGGGTGGCAGAGGGGCCACAACGGGCGGCAACGGGGCCGCGACGGGCGGCAAAGGGGCCGCGACCGTCCAGGGACGGGCCGGCGAGGGGCAGGGCCGCGGTGGGCGGCTAAGGCAGGGCCGCGACGCGTGGCGACGGGCCAGCGTCGGGCGTCTAAGGCAGGGCCGTGACGGGCCAACGAAGGCAGGGCCGCGACGGGCCGGACTAGGGCAGGGCGCAAGGCGCGCTTCCGGCAGGGCGCGATGCGCGCTTCGGGCAGGGCGCGAAGCGCGCTTCGGGCAGGGCAGGAAAAAATCGTGGTGGGCCCTTAAAAAAATGTTCCCACTAGGGAACCTGCTCAAAATACCATGTAAGAATGTGAACGAATGAATGATTGAACTAGGAAGCAGGTGGGTACAAGTAGGAAACCTAAAAGTGTTGTACCCTATAAGGACTACCCCACTACAGCCTAAACAGACTATAGCATATAAGTTTGACACTGTGCTGGCGCTGCCGCACTACGTGCGCCTAACCGAGCGCAAAGCAATGCGGACTTTGGGTCCGCAGTAGGATGGGCGGCAACCAGAGGCGTGGTATGTGGGGCACTGGGCGTTGTGGCGGCAACCTGCGGAGTGACCGAGCGACGTGCTGCTTCGGCGGGGGCGGCATCGACCAAGGGAGGCTTCTGCACGTCCTTGCGATGGGCCTCCATGCGGTGGAGCATTTCCCTGAGCGCGTTCGCCGCTGCGGGCACCTTAGTGGCGGACGGACCGTCGCGGTTAGCCGCAGCATCCTTTGCGTCGCCCTTGGCGGCAGACGGGCCTGATGGAGATGGAGTAGCCGCAAGGGCCTGCCCATCGTTGTTGGCGGCTGACGGGCCGACCGGCGCGCTGCTAGCCGTAGGGGGTTTTCGGGGAATCGACGTGGTCCCCGCCACCCCGACAGACGGTCCCTTGACGGTTCTGGCGCCGCCATCTATCGCCGTTTGAGCGGTTGGGATCTCCTTGTCGCTCAAGCCTTTCCCGCCGCTCGCCAGACCATGGGGCTTCTCGGCGACCAGGGGCGAGGCTGTTGGTCCAGCGTCTTATGCGGCAACCTCGTCGGCATGGCCCCCATCTGCATTCCCGATTCCATCGCCCTTGCTGTGCGACCTTATCACCTTGGCCCCGTTCTTCTTGAGCTGGTCGACCGCGCTCTGACCTCGAGTCCGCGAGCCGCCTGGACCCACCGCGCCGATGCCGCGGCTCCCATCGGCTCCCTTGCTCCGCTTCACGCTCCCCGCATCATCTCCGCCGCCCGCCCTTTTCCGGCCCTGCTTGTCGGCCTCCCTTCGTTGCGCGGGATCGGCGTCATTGGCCGACGGCGACGACGCACGCCGACCAGCCGCCACATTGCCGATCACCTCGGTCATGAGCTTTAACCCGGACGCAACAAACGACTGCTGGGTGGCCTCCGTCACCACCTTCAACACGTTCGCCTTGAACGACTTCATGAGCTCGTCCGGGAAGGCTGGCGTGGGCTGCGGCGGGGGCGGCGGCGGCACGGCGATGATGCGAGTTACCGCGGCGGCAATGTTGGTCTGCGCGGCGGCTAGGTGCTTCGAGATGTAGTCCTCCAAACCCAGCTTCGCATCGTCCACCACCGCTTCCACGTGGTTGCCCAAGGCGGTGACCGCTTTTGCTCGTTCAACTGCCATACTTCCCTCCGGGCCGTCGATTTCCGCCAACCACGTCGACGCCTTTTCGGCGAAGGACTTCATCGCCTTCCACGATTCGTCCATGTGGTTGGTGATGTTGTCCGTGATGGTTCTCGACACGGCCGACGTCGCATCTAGCAGCCGTTTCGCCGCATTATGGTCGGAGACGGCGACCTGGTCGGCCAACAACTGGAGCTTGTCGAGGAGTCCCCGCATCCCCAACACAAACCTATCCACCCGACCCCTTTCATCTTCGAGCGCCTTCTCCATACGGGCATTTTCTGCCGTCAATCGCCTGTTCTCCTATCGCAGCTGCTCGACGACGTCCAGCGGTGCCTGCCGACCCGATGCGGAGGAACCGGGATGACCGCGCGCCGCCTTCTTCACCCTAGACCGCTCCCCCCCGGCCTTCCCTGCGGTGGTCTCGGTAGGCGCTTCCACGCCCGTCTGCTTCGTGGCCGCGGCGTTATCCCCTTCTCCAACGACCTCGAGGTCGATAACTTCCTTCGCGTCGCCAAACACATCGCCGACCACGACCTTCTCACCCCCCTCGTGAGCCTCCTCCACGCCGACTTTCTCCTCGTCGGCATCCTCCCCTCCCTTGTTCACAACATCTGCCGACCTCCTAGCCGTTTCCGCCGCTCCCTCTACGTACTCCACCTCCATTTCCTCCAACTCCCACTCGACCTCTTCCTCCTGCTCCCCCTCTTGCTGCTTCTCCGCCTCCTCCACCTCTTCCTCCTCCTCCTCCTCCTCCTCCTCCTCCTCCTCCTCCTCCTCCTCCTCCTCCTCCTCCTCCTCCTCCTCCTCCTCACGGCTGGGAGGTCGTACGCCGCCGGGCTCTCCGATCGAAGTCCCACGCGCATCATCGACGGTGTAGGCGACACCTACTGCTTTGGATGCCGAAGGGGCCTCTTCGCCGTCGTCTTCGCAGGCGTCGGCAGCAACTCCGACATGGCCCGACCGTTTGAGAGCGACGTGCTCCTTGACGAATGTTATCATCCCATTCCGCAGCCCCTTCAACCCCGAAACGTTGACCTTGTCCATGCTGATCACACTGCGACGGAGGGCGCCGATCAGGAGATCCATCCTCCTCACCACCCAGCACAACGCGCTCATTGCTAGCAGGCCGGAGCCTGTGAGAATCATGAGAGGAATGAATGAACTAGGCAGCAGGTGGGTGCAAGTATGAAACACAAAAGTGTTGTACCCTCTAAGAACTACCCCACTATAGCCTAAACAGACTATAGCATATATAAGTTTGACACACCCCCATAGGCAAAGTGGGGGAGAACAAGAGGTCACAAGGCCAGTCAAGAAAGACAAAGCAAGCTCAGGGTGGATCACAAAGTCACCACGCAGTCTGAGCACAAGCAAAGGGCCGCAAGGCCAGTTCACATGCAGAGTTATATATAAAGGAAGCAAACAATACAGTGAACACAACCTAGCAAGTGTAAGCATGCAGGTATATGTATATGGAGTACAGTACAAGCAGAGTCAAGAAGTAAGCAAGTAAGGCACAGTAGGTACAAGGCCTAACACAGTACAGAAACGCTGATGATCACAAGGCTGAAGTGCCTTGGTGAAAACATCAGCAGTGTTGGCCTGAGAGGCCACGTAAGCAAGACGAAGCTGGCCACGCTGCTGCAACTCTCGAGCAAGGAAGTAGCGCAGAGCAATGTGCTTCGTTCTGTGCTCCAGTATGTGCTCCTGACACAAGGCCAGCATGGCCTTGTTGTCGACGTACAGAACTGGAGGAGAACGAGGCGCCTCTCCCAAGTCGGTCAGCAGGTAGGTGAGCCAGCGTAGCTCCTGTGCAGCCATGGCCCCAGCGTAGATCTCAGCCTCACAACTGGAGCTGAGAACAGAAGAAGAGCGGGTAGACCGCCAAGAGACAGAACCGGAGCCAAGACTGAAGGTGTAACCCTGTGGCGACCACAGCGTAGCCAAGTCGTCAACCCAGGAGGCGTCAGCGTGACCAGTGAGGACAACTCGAGCCCGTCCTCCAAGCACGAGCCCCATGCCCGATGTACTGCACAAGTATCGCAACACCCTCTTCGCAGCATCCCAGTGCACCTTTCGGTGCCTGCCGGGAGCCACGTAGCGAGCCAGAAGGCTGAGAGGGTATGCGAGGTCAGATCGTGTGCAAGTCATCAGGTACATGAGGCAGCCCACAAGCTCTGGATACGGGCCACTCGGCTCTACGGACTCGTCCGAAGGTGGAGCTGAGAGCGAGTGACCGGTAGGCAGAGGAGTGGACTGTGGCGAGGAGTACGTGAAGCCGAAGCGCTGAAGGACCTGCTGCACCATGTGTGACTGAGTCAAGGTAATGGTGCGCTGTGCTCTGTCCCGGGTGATCCGCAAGCCAAGATAGCTTGTGAGCTCACCCAGGTCTATGCACGTGTGTCTCTTCTGCAGCTCGGACTTCACGTGGGCGAGTGCCTCAGTGTCAGCAGTAGCAAAGACGAGGTCGTCTACGTACACGAGAACGTAGAACGGCGGCAGAGTAGTGTCAGTGCGTAAGAAGAGAGAAGGGTCAGAAGTGGAAGGAGCAAAACCAAGAGCAGCAAGAGTCGTCCTGAGTGTGTCGTGCCACTCATGAGGTGCCTGGCGGAGACCGTAGATTGGCCGCCGGAGGCTCCACTGGGTACCAGCTGGAAACGACCCAGTGAAGCCAGGTGGGCGGCGCAGCCAGATCTCCTCGTGCAGGCTGCCCTGTAGGAAGGCTGTGCTGAAGTTAAGCGAGTGGAGCTCGTAGTCACGCTGAGCAGCTACGTGCAGCAGTACCCGAAGAGTGGTCATCTTCGGGGTAGGGGAGAAGGTCTAAAAGAAGTCAACTCTCTGTCGCTGACTGAAGCCACGTGCAACGTAACGTGCCTTGAAGACAGGCGGAGAACCCGGCGGCCGCTTCACCCTGAAGATCCACATGCCACTGACGATGTTCGCCCCAGGCGGGGGAACCTCGTCGACGTAGGTGCCTGTGGACTTCCAGGAAGCCATCTCGGCGTCCATGGCTGCCTGCCACTGAGAGGAGTAGGGACCCTCTATCGCCTCTGCGTAAGAGCGCGGGGTCGGGATGTCTGGTGCATCCGGGTCTCCCTCAGGGGCAAGCAGCATGGACACAAGATGAGGTACAGAAGCAGCAAAGCACTCAAACTCCTCCTGTCTGTCCTCAAGAACGTCCGTGCCAAGAGCACACTCACCCCCGACGGACGGAGGACAGACAGACACAGACGCAGACTCAGTAGCAAGACTAGCGGCGTAGTCTAGGCGACAGGCTGCAGCAAAGTCAACAAGCTCAGTAAAAAGAGCAGACGCAGCAGAGGACTCAAACAAAGGGTCAGTGACAGCAGTGGCCAGAAAACGCGTGACAGCTGGACTAGCAGCACGTAGGGAGTCAGACGCAGGGTCCGGACCGGCAGGAAGAGAGGACGCAGGAGGAGATGGCAGAGGGACACGCTGTGGAGCAGTGGAAGGATGCAGAGTCATAGAGTGAGTGCCAGGGACAGGAGGAGGACGCGGACGCGAAACACGACCAGCGCGAACAGGACGGACAGGCGACGCAGAACGAGACTCAGGCGACACAGGACGAGACTCAGGCTCACGACGCTCCGTAAGACCTCTAGTCGGTCCAGAGTAAGGAGAAGGACCAGGCAGTGGAGAGGCTGGCTGGAACCGCGACTGGGACTGGACAGGCGGTGGACTCAGTAAAGGAGGAGGAGGACCAAGAGAAGGCGGGGAGCCAAGAACCTGCTGAAGAAGCGGAACGTAGTACGGCCGCGGCCGCACAGCGCCTCCAGAAACAGCAGAGAAAGAACCGGTACCCTCAGCCCCAGGGTCTCCACTCCCAGCAGCACCTCCAGCAGCTCCAGCACCAGCAGCACCTCCAGCAGCTCCAGCACCAGCAGCACCTCCAGCACCTCCAGCAGCTCCAGCACCAACAGCACCTCCAGCAGCACCAGCACCAGCAGCACCTCCAGAAGCTCCAGCAGCACCTCCAGCACCAGCAGCACCTCCAGCAGCACCAGCACCAGCAGCACCTCCAGAAGCTCCAGCAGTACCTCCAGCACCAGCAGCACCTCCAGTAGCACCAGCACCAGCAGCACCTCCAGAAGCTCGAGCAGCACCCCGACAGCGCCGAGAGTACCACTCACGAAGCTGCTGTAGAGAGAGAGGCTCCCGCCGCGGCGGGACACCTAGAGCACCTCCAGACTCAGCACGCGCAGGCACAGCACCTCCAGACACAGTACCCTCAGGCTCCACACGCCCAGGCTCAGCACCCCCAGGCTCAGCACGCCCAGACTCAGCACCCCCAGACCCAGCACCCCCAGTCCCCGCACCCGCAGGCTCAGCACCCCCAGACGCAGCACCTGAGTCGACAGCTACCTCGACCGGCTTGGCAGGGTCTACCTGGGACACACCTGAGGGGGCAGGACCCTGGGGGGGGAGGGGGTCTACCGGGGGAGTACCTGGGGCCAGGAAGAGCGGCGGGGGGGGTGGAGAGGCAGTGCGGTAGGGAAAGAGACGGTAGTACGACACCGACTCGTCAAACGTGACGTCCTGAGAGGACAGAACACGACGCGAGGTGGGGTGGTAGAACTGCCACCCTGGTGCGTCAGGAGGGAAGCCAAGGAAGACACAGGGAACGGCACGGGAGGACAGCTTGTCCGCTGTAGTATCGCGGACAAAAGCTCGAGATCCCCAGACACGGAACGCGGACGCATCGCCAACCTTCCCCGTCCACCGCAGAGTAGGTGTGGTCTCCGGCAAGGAGACACGAGGCTGAAGGTTGACCTGATGCGCAGCGTACTGAACCGCGAACAGCCACAGAAAATGGGGAGCAGCCGCATGGATCATGGACGTACGAGCGACGTCCATGACCATGCCAATGCGGCGCTCAGCAATCCCATTTTGCTGTGGAGAGGCCGGAAGCGTGAACGTCTGGCGGAAAACAGGAAGGTCCGAGCCGAAACTCTCACTGAGCTGGCGACGAGCACCGTGGATCCAGTCGATCAACACCTCAGGGACCTCACCCTTGCTGCGCAAGGGGAAGACTGTGGTGTAACGCGAGTAGTCGTCAACGACCAGCAGGAAGTAGCGCTCGTGACCCTGTCCACGGACGCGGGCTGGGCCCCACACGTCCATGTGAAGAGTCTGCAGAGGGGCCTCAGTCGGAGGGAACGAGGAGTGAGGAGCGGCGCGCTACCGGCCCTCGACACAAGGAACACAGGTGGGGGCAGGCCCCGGAGGAAGGGGAGGGAGGGACCTGGGGAGCCCAGAGACAAGAGCACGGGAGGCCATACCTCGAAGACGAGGCAGGGAGGGGTGACCAAGGCGGTGGTGCCAAAGGAGAGTCTCGTGCGCCAGAGGACGACACGAGCAGGGGGCAGACGCAGGACAAGACCTGGACGCGGCAGCAAACACCTGACTAGACGCAGCTACCTGACCAGACGCAGGGACCGGAGGAGGCGCAGTAGTCAGTGTGTACAGACTCGACCCTGGCCGACGGATGAACGTGGCCAGGTGGCGGCCCGTCCGAGAGCAAGTGCAGTGGGTCACACGCTGACCTCCAGGGGTGAACTGGTCAACCCACGCGTCCTGGAGGTCAGCTCCACTCACCAAGTTTGTAGAGAACGAGGGGAGGTGGAGTCCCGACAGCAAGCCCGACGGGGCCGCAGGACACGGTAGAACCGTGGAGGAGTGTGCAAGGACTGGGCCCCCGGAGGGGTCAGCAAGGGAGACTGCAACAGGCCGACTAAGCGGCGTGAGCGTGGTGCTGTCTCTAAAGAAAGAGCGCGAAGCACCAGAGTCAAGTGTGAAAGTGTGCAAGGACTCAGTAGGTGCTGTACCAGAGAGAGCAAACGCACCAGCACCTGGAGCAGCAGACGCACCAGCACCTGGAGCAGCAAATGCACTAGCACCTAGAGCAGCAGTAGCAATGCCCGGGTCGGGCGGGACACGCAGGTAACAGTCACCCTCAGTACTATCAGCAATAGCATACATGGCAGCAAGGATATCATCGAAATCAAGATCAAAGATAGGCACATTCTGCAGAAGCAGATCATGCCAGCGAGGGAGCTCAACGGCGTCAGGAAACAGGGCACGCCAAGCGACAGTCAAGCGACCGAAGCAGCGCTGCGTAGTGTGTGGAAGCCCACACACCTCCCCATTACGAGTGCCGGAGCGAAGAACGTAAGTGCAGGGACCAGCACCCCCAGACCTCCCACGCCCAGCGTACCACTCACGAAGCTGCTGGACCGACGGAGTCTCACGGGAGCGTGGCTGCTGCTGGCGCTGGCTACCACCAAAGCCTCCACGCTGCACGGCTGCACCTCGACCAGCACCACCACCGCCGCCACCTCCACCACCGCTGCTGCTGCCTCCTCCACCTCCTCCGCTGCCTCCACCACCTCCACCGCCGCCACTGAAGCCCCCACTCCCGGTACCACCCCCACCTCCACCGCCACCTCCTCCGCCTCCTCCACCTCCTCCACCACCCCCCCCGCCGCCCCCTCCACCACCCTTGCCCCCTTGCCTCTGCTGTTGCGGCGTCTCCCACTAGGGGCAGACGCAGCTCCAACCTCCTCAGTGCCAACGAGGTCGACAGCAGCAGCAGAAGCAACCGAGGGGAGAAGGGGGACAGGGGAACACCCCTCAAAGAAAGGGGTGCGACGGTCGCCGCGAGAAGCACCTACAGCTAAGATACTCTTCACAACTGCAGTAAGGCGCTCCTCTAGCAGGTCGACAGTCAGCTCGGTGGGGCAAAGGGAGAGAAAGTGGTCCCTGACTGAAGAAAGTGAGTCAGGGAGGCGGGTGACTAGGTAGTAAAGGGTGATGTACATGGGGGGGGGGTTCTTGGCACAGAACTCAGTGGGAAGGGCAGCGCGGTAGCGAGCGTCACTAGTGCGAAGGTGGGCAACTAGGTCAGCGACTGTGGCAAAGGCAGCAAGGTCAGGGAAAAGGTACGGCAGCATGAGGCGGCTGAGGGCAGCAGTGGCAAGTGAGGAGTAGCGCGCAACTACAGCGTCGTACAAAGACTGAGCAGTCTTGTACTGGCCAAAATGCGCGCGCTCAGCAGGCGGCAGGTGACTACGAACAGCAAGACGAGCAACAGCGTCACGAGTGGTCCACTGCGAGCGAACCGTACTGTCAGCAGTGGCAGTAGGAGCAGTAGAAACACCGGACGTGTGATAAAAAAGGGACACCCCATCCCTAGAATCACACTGAAGAAAGAGCTGGAGGTCGTCAACCCACACGTCAAAGTCAACCGCACGTCCCTCAGCGTCAAAGGTAAGAACGGTAGGACTAGCCATAGCAGCAGTAGGAGCAGTAGCAAGAGTAGCAGCAGTAGCAGCAAAAGCAGCAGTAGCAGCAGTAGGAGCGGAGGCAGTAGGGCAGTGCACAGCAGTGCGGCTCGGTAGGGCAGGGCGGCGCGGTGGGGCGGCGCGGCTCGGCTGGGCGGCGCGGCTCGGCTGGGCGGCGCGGCTCGGCTCCTGGCGGCACGGGTGCTTACCAGGGGCGGGTGCAGACAGGGCCGCAACTGGGGCGGCAGCAGGGGGCAGGGCCGCCTCGGGCGGTGCAGGCAGAGCCGCGACAGGCCAGTGACGGGCCAGCAACGGGCGGCAACGGGCTTGCGACGGGCCGGCTACGGGCGGCAGCGGGCCGGCGACGGGCGGCGACGGGCGGCAACGGGCCGGCGGCTGGCCGGCGACGGTCGGCAACGGGCCAGCGACAGCCGGCGACGGGCGGCAACGGGCCGGCGACGGGGCTGCGACGGCCGGCGACGGCCGGCGACGGGCGGCAAAGGGGGCCGCGAATGGCCGTGAGGGGGCCGCGAAGGGCCGCGAAGGGGGGCTCGAAGGGCCGCGCAAGGGGCCGCGAAGGGCAGCGAGGGGCCACGAAAGGGCCGCGAAGGGGGCCGCGAAGGGCCGCTAAGGGGCCGCGAAGGGCCGCGAAAGGGGGCCGCGAAGGGGGCCGCGAAGGGCCGTTAAGGGGCCGCTAAGGGGCCACGAAAGGGGCCGCGAAGGGCCTCTAAGGGGCCGCGAAGGCCGCGAGGGGCCGCGAGGGGCCGCTAAGGGGCCGCGAAGGCCGCGAGGGGCCGCGAAGGGCCGCTAAGGGCAGGCGCACGAGGCGCTGCTAGGGCAAACGCAAAACGCGCTTCGGGCAGGTAAGGAAAAAAAAAAAATCTTAGGGAACCTGCTCTATACCATGTGAGAATCATGAGAGGAATGAATGAACTAGGCAGCAGGTGGGTACAAGTATGAAACACAAAAGTATTGTACCCTCTAAGAACTACCCCACTACAGCCTAATCAGACTATAGCATATATAAGTTTGACAGAGCCCACGTCCCCGTCCCGGACGGCGTCGGGCACTTTCTGCATACAACAGTTCAGACCTCAAGGATGAGCACCGCGTTCGGCAATCGCATCGCGCAAGGATGACACACTATAGGACGGTAAATCGTTCGGAACTCACATCTCGAACGGGTTGATCGCAGTCGGCGAGCCTGTCCTCCACCTCTTCATCGGAAGGCTTCGCCCACTCCCACTTCCTACCATCGCACCCAAGCTCGGCCAGGACTGCCGCCCGGAAAAACCTGAAGCAACATGGCACAGATTGTCGGTAAGCATGGTTTACGCTGCGCGGCGGTGCCACTGCTTCATGGTCTGCGGGTCAAAGTGCCGGATCGAGGTCCTGATCTTCTCCCCCCCAGCCTTCAACAGGTCGCCAGGGTACAGAATGACAACGATGCTGCAATGTGCTCCTGGAAGCGGTGCGATGCTGCATAGGCAAGGCACGACGACGTCGTTCAGAACAGAGCACCGACATAGGATGCAAAACACATCATGACGACTTCTAACCAGCTCACCTCGAAGTCAAGGGGATAACCGCTACGTCGGCGTCGAAAACCGTCGCAAAGCATGTGTGGTCCGCCCGACCCATCGCCGCCCGAAGCCGGCCGAGTCCTATCGACCACAATCGCATGTTGGCCGGCGCCGCGCGAGTCCATGCGAGCCTGCACGCATGCATGGGAATAAGAAGTGAGTGAGGATGTGCACGACACGACGGTGGATACGTTAGTTTAGGAACCGCCAACCGACGGGGATGGCAATCGTACGACGGTGCACCACCCTCGCGACGTTGTAATCAATTGAGCCGACCGATGCGGGCCTAAACCCTGTGCCGACACCGACCTACTGTAGGTAACCCTGAATCCTAAAGTCGGCGTCGACGTGAACTCGTAGTGCCGCCCTAGACGTGGGACAACCCTAACACCGACGCTGCGTCGACCAGCAATGTAAGAAGATGTCGACGCCGACATCCCCATACGGAGACTCACTTGATGCAGAATCCCAAGCAACGGGCGTTGAACTCTAGCCTATGGTCTACGAGGACGGCGTAGTCGTGTTCCTCGAGCTTGGCAGTGAGTCCACTACCGAGGTCGAGATACAGAGGGAAGTCCTGCACGGTCGGCGCCGCTTCGCCGGCTTTCGGGTCGGCGTCCATGGCGGTGAAGGGAATTGACTACAGGCTAAGGGACGAGAATGTGGGGGTAATGTTGAAAGAGAAACGAGATGCCGAAAATGAGGAGCGATGCCTCCTTCCACCAAGGAAAGGGAGTCGGTGCCCCACAGGCCGGTTGAGGCATCGCCCAGGGTTCGTGGTGCCTGGCTCGGCAGGGTTTGGCGGGCTGCGTGCACAAGTGGCAAAAGTTTGCCGCCGAGCCAGCACGTCGACTTCGCATCCCCTGGCTTCGCTCGGCGAGGGGACGCAATTTCGCATGCGCGCGGTGCGACGTTTCGGCCGACACGTGTCGACTTCGCAGCGGTTCGTAAAAACCCCGCACCGCGATGCGAGCGATCCGATTTCGCCGGGCTCGAAATTTCGCATGCACCCGATGCGAACCCGCGTGCAAACACGTGGCGTCACCGCAACGGGTCGCGAAATCGTCGAGCTTCCCGAGGGGAGCACCCGAATTTTGCATGGCCCTCGCCTGCCCGTCCGGGCAGGTCGCGAGGGTCACTAGGACGTCGCGGGCAGCAGGCACGGGAGGGCTGCCTTCGCGCGAGGGTTACTTCCCCTTGCGCGAGGGCTCGCCAGCTCGCCGCCCCCACCCGGTAACGTGGGGCGCTTTTCAATCACACAGGGCGGTCGTGCGCTCGGCCCCGGCCCTGGGCCAGGCTGGCGGGCCCGCACGCGCGTCAGTTGCCCGCCTCGTCGGGCCCGGCTCCGACGACCCCGTCTGATGACACTGGCAAATCGGTTCCGACGACCGAATTGCGCTGGGATGTTCGGAATGTTAATTTCCTGATGTTCCAGTAAGAAATCCCGCCAAGAATGTGGTCAGTTCACCAATCCCGCCTAGAATTCTCAAATCAGCTGGCATCTTTCACGCCATCATGGATCATGCACGCTGACAGGTCGTCTGAAATGCGTACCACTCTCTAGGTTCTCGCCTCTAGAATACGTGGAAGGTGGTGGTCACAGGCATGTTCCGAGGCTGCCCCGCAGTGCACGCTATCATGGCTTCTCTGCCTCCGGCTTTCAACTCTCCGATTCTAGCTTCGCCCGGAACGCGGTTACGACCTGTTAGAACGCACCGCGAGGCGGACTTGCTTCTTAGGGCCTTTCGGCGAGAAATCTCAGCGGACGTCCCTGATGCGACGTGTTTTGCGGGGAGAAACGAATTTCGCAGCGGAAGAACGGTGGAGGGACATACTAGCTCAGGCAGGACTCATGGCTGGCTTAAGAAGTCGAGGTCTGATACGAACTGTTCTCAGCGTTTTAGTGAGATTCGAGTTGCACAATACAGGGAGAGCTTATATCGAGGAATAGAAGGGATGGCTGGCATCGGCTGGCGATCTGGTGGGCTTCAAGTGGGGACGGCTGATGCAACCACGACGCCGTGTAACCATCATGGGAACGCCGGTGAAGCCAGTCAAAGCGACTATCATCGTACTCATCCGAGGGAGGACAGCAACAGTGACGGTGTCAGCGACGGTGACGGTGACGGTGACGGTAACTGCGCTAGTAGCTCAGCTACTGGTGAGAAACCAGTCAGGGACGAAACCAGGTGTTCCTCTGAAGACTCTACGTCATCGGATGACGTCACGAGTGACAGCAACGCGTCCAGGACACGTGGCAGGCAGGGAGTGGTCCGAATTCTGCTGTTTTGGCCCAACATCATTGGTTACCTGAGAATCGCTCTCCTCCTCGCCCTCCTCCTCCACCTCCCCCTCTCATCACCTCACCCCACCAACCTCCCCACCCTCTCCCCACCCTCCTCCCTCCCATCTATAGCCCATGCGCATGCATACGCTTCCCCCCTTGCAACTCATGCCATGCCTGTGCTGCTGTGTGCTTGGCTCTATCTGCTCAACATGGCATTGGACGGTGTGGATGGCATCGTGGCTCGCCGCCTGCGCCAGGTGTCGGCGCTTGGTGCGATCCTGGACGTTGCTGTGGATAACGCACTGCGCACCGCCATGTGGGCAGCTGCCATGAACAGTGCCATCCTGACCATGAACAGTGTCAGACTCGGCATGAACAGTGCTGGTGGGACTCTGTTAGGCATGAATAGTGCGCGGATGCTGCAAGCAGCTGCCGTCCTTATCCCGTGTGTGGAATGGCTCACATTCACCTGCTCCCATGCCAGCACGCTTGGCAGTGGCAGTGGCAGTGGCAGTGGCAGTGGCAGTGGCAGTGGCAGTGCAACACATACTCGTGGCAACGACACCACAGCACTTGCAGAAGGGGCGAAGGGAGGGGGTGGAGTGGCAAGGCAAGAGCAAGGGAAAGATGTAGTGGAAGGTTCTAAGGAGCAGGCAAAGGAGAGGGGCAACTGGAAGGAAGTGTGGGGTGGCAAGAACGGCAGTCCGCTGCTGGTCTCCCTGGTCATGCGGAATGGCTTCAAAACGTACGTGACATGGACTGTGCTGTGGGCTGTAGTATAGGCTCTAGGCTGGCATGGTTATCAAGGCGGTGTGGGGTGGCGAGAACGACAGTCCACTGCTGGTCTCCCTGGTCATGCGGAATGGCTTCAAAACGTACGTGGCTTGGCGCTGTGCAATGACGTGACGTGTATGACAGTGCTTGTGGAATGAGCAGACTCATGGGTTTCTAGCGTGGTTATGGAGTTGCCGCCCCGCCTCACATCATCACCAATACTGTTCAATCACCTTTTCACTCTCTTTCTTGCTTCAGAGCCTGGCCAATACCTCTCCCTCTCATGGCCCCTTTCTATGTCTCCTCTCCTTTCCCCACTTGTCCCCCTTCCTTCCTGGCTAATCACAGCCCTGTCGGAGTCATGGCAATCGCCGGTCTGCACTTCCTCCCTCTCTGGCTCTTCATTCGACACCATCTACACTTTTTCCTCACTTCGTTCTCACATGCATATATGCAAAGTCAACCTCCATTACACATTTTTGGGATGGTTGCACTTTCGGCACTGACCTCGCTTCCAGTGGGGTTGGCTCTTGGTGTTGGGAGGCTTTTGTGTCTGTTTGTGGAGTTGTGGGTTATCCGGACTCACCTTCTTCAGATTCTCCAAACCGATGTGGAAGCTTATCCATGTAAATAGTTTATTAGGTGTGTCAGAATTATATTCTTATACTTGCATGTAGTTCTAGCTGTAGTGTAGATATTAACTTTATAGGCGGTGCACCTCTTTGTTTGCTATATGTACCCTAGTGCTATAGTGAACACCATTCCCATTTCCCTCTGCTTGGCACAAACTCCCTCGACTCCCTTGGCCTAGGCTACTAAGCCTAGGCCCTCACTTAAACCTAACTACCACTTGTGCCACTATCTTAACATGGTATCAGAGCGAAGGTCTCGGGTTCGAATCCCAGTGTGTGCACTTCGGGCATCCCAGTGCGGGGGGGTGTCAGAGGTCCACTGGTGATCCCCGATTGATTCTAGGGAAGGGTTACAGGCTCGTTGTCCTGGGGGGTTATGGGCGCACTGACCCGCTACTTAACAAGCCCTTTTATCCCAATGGTCTAGTGATTGGGATTCTGACATGGTGTCAGAGTGGTCTCGGGTTCGAATCCCGGTGTATGCACATGTAGGCCCTTGCCGCTGTGCTCAGTCCTGAGCCTCCCAGTGTGGGGGGGGTGTCAGTAGATCTGCACTGTGGATGCCCGATTGATCCTACGGGGGGTTACAGGCGCGTTTGCCTGGGGGTTTATGGGCGCACTCTGACCCGCTACTTAACAAGTCCTTTTATCCCAATGGTCTAGTGGTTGGGATTCTGACAAGGTGTTGTTACGGGTGCAATGGATCGAGGTAGCAAGGATTGTACTAGAGTGTTCAATGAGTACAAATTATCAGCGAAGGCATGAGCGAATACTTATACGCGAAGCATGCAAACGGTAACGCGGTGCGTGCTGTTGGAAACATATAGTTCGCGCTTCTGATGTGTCGAACACTACAAACGTAAGCGAAGCGAACTACAACGAAGTAACAGCGAGTCAACTAGAGCGGTTGACAGAAAGACAACAGCAAGAGCAGGGACGCCAACATCAGACGAAATTGTTATGATAAGCTTAGTAGTGCCTAGGGTTTGGGTGCTAGGCAACTATCGAGAGTAGAAAGGAAGAGGGTTTGACTAAAAGGCCAAAGGCCCAAGTTATACAAGAGACAAGCAAGGAGGGGGTGCACCACAAGTAGGACATCAATATAACTACACTGCAGCTAGAACTACATGCAGTTATACAAAAATATATTATGACAGAAATCCGTCTGATAGTCTGAAAATCAGACTCGTTTTTTGGTGTTCATCTAAATTTGTAGACAGTGATTTTTGTTTCATATGAATCATCAGAAATGCAAAATATATTCGTCTGATTTTTCATACTAGCTTGTACACTTCGTCTGAGTTCACAGACAGCAAGGATATTTTCGTCTGACACTAACAATACACCCCAGCAGTAGCCCCCTGTTTTTCCGCGCGAAACCGACGCTAACGCGTCAAAATCTCGTATGACACATTTGCGCCAGATAGCATTTTGCGTCAGATGATCTTTCCCACTGCCTAGGGGGAGATCCTCCACTGTCTCACATCCTCCCACAAAAGATCTTCTCAATGTCAGATATATATGCCTTAGCCTATGTAGGCTGTAGTGGGGTAGACACTAAGGGGTACAGCTTTCATATTTGTATCTCACACTTCCTAGTTCAATTCATTCCTGCTGTTCATTCTCACATGGTATAGAGCGGGTTCCAACATGGGACTGTTCCTTCCTAAGGGCCCACCATATTTTTTTTTTAGCCGCCCGACGCCCTGCCCTAATTTTTTTTTTCGCGGCCCCTACGTGGCCCCTCTGTCGCCTAGCGCGCCCCTACGCGGCCCCTACACGGCTCCTAGCGCGCCCCTACCCGGCCACTACGCGGCCCTTACGCGGCCCCTAGCGCGCGCCCCCTACCCGTCCCTGACGCGGCCCCTACGCGGCCCCTGACGCGGCCCCTACTCGGCCCCTGACGCGGCCCCTACGCGGCCCCTGACGCGGCCCCTACGCGGCCCCTGCCGCGGCCCCTACGCGGCCCCTATGCGGCCCCTGACGCGGCCCCTACGCGGCCCCTGACGCGGCCCCTACGCGGCCCCTGACGCGGCCCTTACGCGGCCCCTGACGCGGCCCCTACGCGGCCCCTGACGCGGCCCCTACGCGGCCCCTACGCCACCCCTGCCGCGGCCCGACCCAGCCCCGTCCCTGACGCGGCCTCTCTGCGGCCCCTGACGCGGCCCCTACGCGGCCCCTGACGCGGCCCCTGACGCGGCCCCTACGCGGCCCCTACGCGGCCCCTGACGCGGCCCCTACGCGGCCCCTGACGCGGCCCCTGACGCGGCCCGTACGCCACCCCTGACGCGGCCCCTACGCCGCCCCTACGCGGCCCGGCCCGGCCCCGTCCCTGACGCGGCACCTACGCGGCCCCTCCGCCGCCCCTACGCGGCCCCTATGCCGCCCCTAAAAGAGCCTCCGTCCCGGACCTGCCTTGGCCCCGGCCCCGACCCTGTCCCAGCCCTACCTCGGCCCCGTCCCGGACCTGCCCCGGCCCCGACCCCGTCCCGGACCTGCCCCGGCCCCGACCCTGTCCCGGCCCCGTTGCTGCCCTGTCCCGGACCCTGCTCGGCCCCGACCCTGTCCCGGACCTGCCCCGGCCCCGACCCTGTCCCGGCCCCGTTTCTGCCCCGTCCAGGACCCTGCTCGGCCCCGACCCTGTCCCGGCCCTGTCACGGCCCCGACCCAGTCCCGGACCTGTCGTTCCGCCCCTGGTAAGAGCCTAGCCGGGCCGAGCCTCGCGGCCGAGCCGCACTGCCTTGCTAATTGCCCTGCCGAGTCGCACTGTCCTGCCTCGCTCAGTTGCACTGCTGCTGCTGCTAGTCTGCTGCTGCTCCTAGCATGGCTAGTCCTAGTCTTCTCACCTTTGATGCCGAGGGCCGAGCGGTTGACTTTGATGTCTGGCTAGATGATCTGCAGCTTTTCCTTCAGTGCGATAGCAAGGATGGTCTCTCCCTGTTTGATCTTACGTCGGGTGCCTCTACTGCCCCTGCTGCTGATGCTGACAGTACAGTTCGCTCGCAGTGGCTCACGCGCGATGCTGCTGCCCGCCTTGCTGTGCGTAGTCACCTACCGTCTACTGAGCGCGCGCACTTTAGTCAGTACAAGAGTGCTAAGACTCTGTATGACGCAGTAGTTGCACGCTACTCCTCCCCTGCCACTGCTGCGCTTAGTCGCCTCATGCTACCGTACCTGTTCCCTGACCTCGCTGCTTTTGCCACAGTCACTGACCTCATTACGCACCTCCGCACTAGTGACACTCGCTACCGCGCTGCGCTTCCTGCTGAGTTCTGCGCCCGGAACCCTCCCCCCATGTACATCACCCTCTACTACCTAGTCACTCGACTCCCTGACACTCTCCGCTCGGTCAGGGACTACTTCCTCTCTCTTTGCCCTACCACCCTCACTGTCGACCTCCTCGAGGAGCGCCTCCTTGCAGCAGAGACTAGTATCACCGCTGTAGGCGCCTCTCGTGGTGACCCCCGTACCCCTTTCTTTGAGGGGTGCTCCCCCGTTCCTCTTTTGCCCTCTGTTGCCTCTGCTGCTGCTGTCGACCTTGTTGGCACCGAGTCGGCCAGCGCTGCGTCTGCTCCTAGTGAGAGGCGCCGCTTCAGCAAGGGCAAGCGGGGCAAGGGAGCTGGAGGAGGTGGTGGGGGCGGCGGTAGTGGCGGTGGAGGCGGAGGAGGGGGGGGGGGGATGGGGGTGGTGGCAGAGGTGGGGGCTTCGGTGGCGGCGGTGGAGGTGGAGGCGGCGGTGGCGGTGGCGGGAGGGGTGGAGGAGGCGGAGGCGGCGGCGGCGGCGGCGGTGGCGCTGGCAGAGGCGGAGCTGTGCAGCGGGGACCCCAGCAGCAGCAGCGCTCTCGTGAGACCCCTTCGCCCCAGCAGCTTCGTGAGTGGTACGCGGGGCGCCAGGGGTCTGGGGGTGCTGGTCCCTGTACTTACGTCCTGCGCACCGGTGACCGCCCTGGAGAGCAGTGTGGCGGCCTGCACGCCACCCATCGCTGCTTCGGTCGCCTGACGGACGCCTGGCGTGCCCAGTTCCCGGACGCCACTAAGATCCCTCGTTGGGGAGATCTGCTCAGGTCGGGGGTAGCTATCTTTGATCTTGACTTTGATGCTATTCTTGCTGCCATGTATGCTGTGTCTATTAGTGCTGAGGGTGACTGTTACGTGTGTGTTCCGCCTGACCCTGGTATTGAGGCTGCTGCTCTAGGTGCTCGTGAGTCTGCTGCTCCAGGTGCTAGTGAGTCTGCTGCTCTAGGTGCTGGTGAGTCTGCTCTCTCAGGTACCGCATCGGCGCAGGTCTTGCACACCTTCACCCTCGACTCGGGTGCTTCCCGCTCCTTCTTTCGAGACCGCACCACCCTTACGCCGCTCAGTCGGCCGGTTGCGGTCTCCCTTGCAGACCCCTCTGGGGGTCCTGTTCTTGCTCGCTACTCCACTGTCCTCCCGTGTCCAGCTGCCCCGTCCGGCTCCCTGTCTGGTCTCTACCTTCCCTCGTTCTCCACGAACTTGGTGAGTGGTGCTGACCTTCAGGATGCCGGGGTTGACCAGTTCACTCCTGCGAGTCAGCGAGTGACCCACTGCACGTGTACTCAGACGGGCCGCCACTTGGCCACGTTTACCCGTCGACCGGGGTCGAGCCTGTACACACTGACCACAGAGTCGGCCCCGGGTGCTGCGTCTGGTCAGGTAGCTGCGTCGAGTCAGGTGTTTGCTGCAGCGTCCC